ATCAAATGGCAGGCGTCTTGATGGTTATCATTAGCCCTTTGGTTGACTTCAGACTTCACAGAGGAGAAGGAACATCAAATTGAAAAAAGTCGAGAGGGGGGGGACAGAAGAGTGTTTCAAAGATGTAAGAGACAAACACAAAGGTAGAAAAAAGGTAAGAAGAGTACTGTGGAAATAGTCGAATATGGCATAGAGTGAGGTGGTGGTAGTTTGAAGTGAGAAGTCAATTGCCAGTTAATAGACTTTTTGCCGTATGAATATACGTTGCATAGGATGCACCACGTGGAGGTAAGTCTATCGCACACCCCGCCTCATTTATTGTCTACAAGTAACATAACTGAATTTAAAAAAATTGAGCTCAGATGTTAGAGCATTGATAGGATTTGTTGGTTGAAATTGGTGAAATCTTTCAAAATACCCCTCACCGCGACTAGCTCCGTGCCGGACTCAGAAGTGATTTCCATCGCTGTTAATCAAGAGATACGGAGAACTATTCGCACCAAAGTAATTCAAGAGGCTCCTTTCCTCAATCGTTTTTCCAAGTGCTTCCCAGGTTGTTTGCTCTTCTATTCGAAATATAATGTATTTTAGGCAGTGTTTGCTACTTGCTTATTGATCACCCAGGATATACGGTATGCTTTCACCGATTGATTTTCTAAAATGGTTAAAAGTGAATATCGCTTATAGCAGAATAACCCCCGGATTAAAACAAAATCAATTCAAGAATCCAGAGAACTATCAACCAAATAGTTTCTACTAAACTCGAAATATGTATAAACAAGGATAGCCTGCTGCTTTTAAGAGAGAGATTAGAGATACACATTTTTCGGTTTGTACGCTGCATTACTCGAATGCGCTCTTCGACAGGCCTAGTCTTTCCTCCGTTATCCTCTCAATCGCCACCGGGAAAAGTATTGCCTATGGGCATTAAGTGGTCTCTATTTATCATCTGGCGGTGGATATGACTATAGATGTATTCACTTCTGTAGGTGCTCTGTGAGGAGGAACTCGTAGCCGTTGACCTTTTGACCCCGGGATGGCCCATTTTTGAACTCCCCTACCTCAACTGTCTCCACGCCTCCTCTCTCACAGCATACGGCCTCTTCACTCAGGTCGATCCTGTCTTCTTGGAAGGTCTCGAATCGATCAGTGGAAAAGGAGATGCCGCTGGTAGGGCTCCAAATGCTCCAGGCATTTCAACTCGTCCCTGGCCAATTAAAGGGGGTTACGGTATGGGATCACCCAATTGCAATAACGATTCCTTGATACCCTCAAATGACCTTTTAATAACCGGTCACGAAAATGGTGTCGTTCAATTCTGGAGACTCGGAGCCGGTTATTATGCTAGAAAAATCTTTAGTCTTTTCACTGGATCTCTCTTTGAAGGTGAATTTGGACCTGATTCTTTAGGGGTAAGGGACTGATTTCCATGACTTTGTCCTTCCTTAGGATGCTAATCGGGGTGTTGATGGTGAAACGGAGCCCTGGCCGCCTTTCCGTCTAGTCGGACTCTTTGATCCATTCATGGATGATGTTAGAGCCGCTATCAAGGTCATTCAATTAGTGGACCGAACGCTCGTGATTGGAGGTGCAGCTGGACAGGTTAGTTTTTTTCCCTCTTCTCCCTTTTTCTTCATCGCATACTTCATCGCCTTCACTTCCTGCTATTCTCCCGCTCATTTAATAACTTCAGGTATCAGTGTGGCAAATATTGGCAAGCAAACCCACTATGATCACTCTCGATATACCTATTGCGATAGAGGTGCCTGGATTCAGATGGAAAGGACATGCTCCACTTACTGTAAGTCTTTTGCTTATTTTTTAGGTGATACCAAATTGACAGCTACTGTTTAAACCGATCGTATAGTTGTGAAATGCGTAAAAACTTCATTTTGTGTCTTCGTTTAGTGATAACCAGCCTTGCTTCGATTATTAGCCAGCGTATTGATTGTCGGGAAATCTTTTATTGTTGTGCTAATTTGCGGTTATGAAATTCAATGTTCCCATCAGCAATTACTTGCCTTTCTATTTTGTCTCCTCTTTTCACTGTATGAACGCATACTCATTATATCCACTGCTTCGAAAGAAGGGTCAAAGACGAGACTCCAAAGATAAGCTGAATAGGCTTCGCAAGCTGTGTGTGTATTCGTGAGCCAAATTCCCTTTCAATTTTTTACCACTGACCTATGAGTTTGAGGGTCGATGCATGACCATCAGTACAGAACTATAAAAACGGGCTTTTTAATGTCGTATCGAAGGAATGTGTATTATCCATTCTACACCTAAAGCTTCGGGCTATTTGGACCTAAATCTGAGTTTACGGCTTGAAGTAGTAAGCATAGGCGTAAGAAAGTGACTTTGTAATTGTCCTGCTAATTAACGCCCTTCCTCGTTTCCAGTTAGGAGCCTAGGGTTAGCAAATAGAAGGAAAGCACGATTTAATGGAAGCTGTTATTTTTAACATATTTCTAGCAGCAGTGGGTTGAGAGAAAAAGATCATTCTATTTCTTCCTAGCAATAAAATATCGCTTCATTGAATTATCAGGATGTCAATTTGAGTCATTTCCTGTCACTGCCAATTAGGGAGTGCCCAGTTCTGACGTCGTCACTCCTGTTACTTTCCATTTCCCTTGCAGTAATGGAGTTCATTGTGTGATTTTAGCTTCGTCAACAGCAATCAGACACGTCTCAGCGTCTACTAGGCAACAGTCTCTTCCCAATTGCTCTTGCTCTCTGCCAACCTCCTTCTCCGGTAACCTGTCTCTCTGTTTGTGAACTCAACGACAAATCAGGTGGTAGCAGCAACCAACAGCAGAATGCCTCAGAGAGTAGTTTTGGAGTTCTAGTTGGCATTGGATCAGCCCACGGCTTCGCATTGCTACACATCAAACAGGAGGCACCAGGACAAGCAACTGGTAGAAGTTTTACTGCCAACCTCGTTCTCCATCACTCGACTATTCCAGCGAATGCGGAGGCGCTGGAGGAAGCGTCGATAGGTGATGGGTGGGCTCGAAGACGGACACGGGAATTGAAGAACTCTCTTCGAGACTCCTTCAGACGCCTGAAGAGGATGAAGTCGGGAAGATCGACTATCAATTCTCCCTCGGCTGCTCCAACTGTTAGTGTTAAACCAGTCACGGCTGGGTCACCCCCCGTAGCTCCGAAGTTCAATGATTCTGCGAGAGTTGGACTCAGAAAGAGTGTCACTAGGGTAAGCTTTTTTGTCACAATGGAACGAATGCGGGTCGATTATTTTTTTTATCTGATAAGCCACTTTAGTATTCAGTAATCTTATGCCTTTATTGTATTTACTTGGTTTCTCAAATATACCTGAAAACCCTTCCTTACTTTTTTATTCGCAGGTAGCAAAATCACAGCTAAGATTGGGTTTCCGTACAATTTGCGGTGTATTCTCTGATCACAAGAATTAGGACTGGGTTTTAAAATGCGTCTATCATAATGAGAGCGAATGTGTATCTTCGCTTACTGAACGCGATAATTAGTGCAAACGTCAACCGAGCAGACCGATTTCTAGCTGGAATTAATTTCCTTAGGGGATTACAAGGAAACAATGGAATACTCACATTTTACTTCATCCTACACATCCCTATCCTAATCCCATTCAATAGAAAGGACCACCCACTAATCGAACCATTCGTAAACTGCATCAGAATTTGACAAACAACATCAGTGGCTGTATCATTAGTAACTTCCGACCACAATTTCTAGTTGAATCTGTTGCCTCACTCAATTGTAAAGATGAAATCATCTTACTGTGATCTTGACCGAAGATGTACGAAGAAAGGCAGGATTCGAATCGGTGGTGGTTAGTCTTCTTTGCTTACAATTTACGGGTTTGAGTGCAATTCGGGAGTGATGTATGTGAAAGGTTTGAGACTCGGGCAAATCAGTTGTGCTCAATGCCACTTGGTTATATGCGTGCATGCATATAAGGTGAGGTGAAATCTATGAGAGGGAAGCATCTATAGGTCTGTCACTGCAATTATACAGACGTTAAATAACTCCAATTATAATGATCCTCGCCGTACCCAAAACGAGGCACCCAACGCAGTGCTGTTTTAGACCAAACCTGTCGTAATCGCAACTTTTTATTTGATATTCAGCTAATTCATGGGTGGTAGTGGACAGGGTGGCAAATTGGATTGAACAAGCATCATCTTGAGGGTCAGGTCAAGCTACTAACTTCTTGTTTACTCCAATATTTATTAAAGTAATAGAATATGAAGAGATGACGATTAAGGCAAATTATTTTACTAGTTCATAACTTGGAGAGAGAGAAAGAGAAAGAGAGGGGAAATAAAATTTCTTACAGTGGCCATCTGTGATGTATCTGTGTTTACATGCGAGAGCCCTGTGCCAATAGCTTTTAACCGGTATTTGACGGTTATCTTTACATCAATGTGTGATAGACTTCCATTATTTCATACAAATATCTGCTCATTTTCAGTCAACATCCGGAGCTACTCGGAATATTCAACTTCGTGGAAGTCTAAGGGCTTCTGCTTCTCGTATCCAAGGCGACTCTGTTGATGTCTCAATGAATCATTTCCCTACTGGTGGTGAGCGAGAGATTTGTGATCGTCCAACTGCCACTGCCAACACCGCACTTGTCCGTTGCATGACCTTCGGACCTCCTCTCCACCACAGGCTCCGTCCTCCAACCGCCTCCTCGACTAACACCGTTGGGTAAGTCACTCGACTTTCTGCGTACCCCCCCCCCCTCCTCCCCTATTTAATGGAAGAAGAGGACGTTGTCTGCCATTATTCATTGATATGTATGAGTAAGTGGGCGTACTCAATGGCATTTAGTTTCTTTTTCGATTCGCATTTAAACTCCCACCTTCAAATTAGTATCAAATATGCGATTTTAGGAGGGTGTAAACTTCACTCGATAGGGCTTCTCTAAAGGTTAGGTTCTCTGTTTTACAAGCTTCATTCCTTGACTTAGTCAGCATCATTATTGGAGTTTATGATTCTACACTAATTAGGTTAAAACAGCTTTGGTGTTATTTACTAACTTCCTAATAATGGGAGAGTATTTGAACAGAACACACTGGCGATGAATGTGGGTCTAAAATAGTCCTACTATGCGTTAATTCGAAGTACACTGAGTAGTTTCCTGCGGTCTAATAAGACGAGCTATTTCTCATATTACTCTTATTGTCTAGTAGACGTAGACAGCATCTAGATTTGTAGATATACGACTAGTCATTCTGTGACTGACATTCACTACACACACCAATGTGGCTAGGAAGCAAAACATTGGATAGTAGGGTCTATTGGGAGAAAAACAGAGACAAGGAGAAAGAGTATGTGGGTCAGCGTCAAAAATCAACTGTAGGCCCACGACAAATGGGGTGTTTTCAAGGCCACGTGAGGGGTCTTGACAAGTGGTCATAACTACTATATATTTTCCTCTCTTTCATTAACTACTTGACATATTTGTTGTTCAAGACACCCCTTAAGCTTTCCAGTAGTCTTGTGATATATTTTTTTCAATCATAACAAATTGGTATGCATAGCTTGATATTCCTTTTGTTTAAGTGATTGGTGGAAAAGTGAAGTGTTCTCTTGCCTCTTTTGTCTCTAGTGCGGCTGGAAATTCCACCGGCGCAGTTGAAACTCCTCACCTTCTGGCCAGTTTCTTCGCAGGTACTAACGGAGGTGCCGCCATCGTATACGCACTCTTCGCAGACGACCCCAAACGCCCTGCTCGTATATCTTCACGGCAAGCCACCCAGGTGCAGCTGCAACATCGAGCGCCGATTGTCACCCTCCGACTGATCGACACCAAAACCCACTGTCCCCTCATAAGCTCTTGTAGGTCTACTAGTCTTCCTTTTTTGTAACTATCACGCTACTGAAGTTCTCTCAGTAACTATTTATTTCATTTTCAGCCATATATTTGCCTACATTTTCAGCACGTCACCACACTTCCTCTCACCATTCACAACAACCCCCTCCGCATCTTATTGTCATCAGTGAAGAACAAGTTCGCCTATTCGCTCTTCCATCGATATCCCTCAAACAGAAGGCCCGAATCACTGCTAAAGATGGTTTCCGAATTAAAAGTGGCGATATTATAGCTTTCGGTCAGACATCTGGTAGGTTAACCTCCTTTTCTCAAATCACGAATTTACTGTACTAGTTGCAACTAGTTAAAATGGTTTTTCTCTTCAGGCGAACGAAATGCCGGTTTGTACGGTATTGAATTTGACTGCGTTTTTACAAATAATGGAGGGCAAGCGGTGGTCTTGTCAGTGCCACATTTGCGCCGAAGAGACACCATAGCCATGTTGGGAGGTTCTGATGTACTAGAAATGAATTCCATACTATTCGCTACAGCAGCATCAACGCAGCCAAAGATTATAGGGGCTCCTAGTTTAGGTGTCTATCAAATAGCCCCAGGTCAGCTGGCTATGTTTGACGTTATATTGGCCGGTCAGAGGTGTTCAGCTTTGGGTGCGCCCTATCAAACAGTGAATCAAGCACATCGGACAGGTCCTCACAACACCCCCAGTCCTTCACCACGTCTGAAACAGAGATTAATCAAGGCTCGGGCTGATACTGGTGCTAGATCTTCTCCTTCAAGGTTTGTGTAACCAGCTTCCATTTTATCCAGCTCTTTTTCCTAGGAATCATTGGCTATTTTCCCCATTTCAGAGCAAACGGAACCGGAGTATGAGTTGAGATTTAGTTTGCACGCAAGTAAAGATAACAAAGGTGACTCTAACCTAGTGTGTTTTCATTTCCTCTTTATGCCTTTCCCCCGTTCTCCCGATTTTTGTCTATCTACCTTTGAGACTCCCGTAACAGTGCACGAGCACCTACACTCCGCCACCTCTTTTGCAGATAATCAGGAAATATAGATATAATTAGTTGCGTTTCCTTTTGGAGATAATATTGCTCTGTTCTTATTTGAAGTGGGGTGGGGTTGATTGATTCGGCACGCCAAGATGCGGCCAAGTAAAGGCACATTCTCTCTGGAGTCTTCCGGTTTTTTTACGCCGTTCCGAATATTTTACACAGAAATAAGTTGGAAGGGAAACGATAGTACAAGAGATTGAGATTGAGGAGTTATGTGATTATTAATCTTGGCACACCGAGAAGTTTCGATGAGCTAAACCTGGGAGAAAACAAAATTCCTCTCTGTACCTGACACACTTAAACAATGAATTTGGTGAAATTGAAAAGAAAGCAAGTTCTTTGAGGCTCGAGGCAAAACTTAACTACTATCCATGAGAAAGAACGGTTTTTGTTGTCGAACGGTGTAATCAGGTATATTTGCATCGGCGCCATTCATTGTTCTACTTTCAGCTGGGAATGGTTACATCGAAATGTAAAATGGAATTCCCTTTCTGTGTTTCCACAGTGTCATCATGGGACTGGTTCGAATTATTATTTCAACGTGGGTCCGCAGTCCAGCAGAAAAAGCATATAATATGTTCCCAATATTCACGTCAAAAAGTAATTATGTGTTCCAGTCAAATAATTGTACTTAGTCAAGGTTAGTCTCCCTAAGACGAAAGCTTGAGGACCTTCGGGGGACATCGCATGCAAAGAAAAATGGACTGTTACTCCTACTATGCCTTCTTCTTCTTCCCTAATTTAGTTTAGCCCAATTTGTGCTTTTAGTTTGCCATGATTTCACCTGAACCATACACACCAACCCGCGGTATTGATGTTTTCTTTCACTAAAAGTTAATGCTAGATTTCCCAATACTGTATCACTACATGGGGCTGGTAGTGACGGTAGCTCCTCTTTTGTCCTCCTTGAAATAAAGAGGCGCAGTCGTTCCTTTGAACTGCAGTGCTTGAAAGCATTGCTATGTGACCCCACTAAATGTAGGAATTTGACATAGTTTATTGATCTTTGTGTCATAGGATACTTATCACTTACTGAAAAACATTAGCACCTTTCTATTTATAAAATCTAATGAGATCCTCTACGACGATGATAATTAGATTTATTGATCATCAGAAGGTCAAGAAGTCTATCAATATTGTAAATAGGCTTATAAGGTCCTCGACTTTGCAGAGCTACTCTATAGGCTGCACATTCCATCTTCTACTTGTCACTTAAAGAACTAGATGTAGTGAGGAGACAGTGGTAAGCAGAATTTCATGAGAAGGATCAGGTTACACGAGAGTGTGAGAGAGTACGGAAGTAGTGTGTTTATAAAGGAAAAAAAGACGGACTTTCAGTAAAGGAGAGACAGCCGATGGACGAATGTATTATAGCACTCATCACACGGACGTCCGTATGTCTGCCAACAGATAGCTTAACTGAGAAAAGTCAATGTAGAGAATTGGAAACCACTGCAGAGATTGATACTTTGGTCATACGTGCGGCGATAGGGGAGGGGGGGGGGTATTGATATTTAATTTGGCCAATCTTCATAAGATTGTCTTTCATTTATATTTTTTGCCCTTTGAGAGAAAATTACATAAGTAGTGACTACATCTGCTTTCTAGTGCGGTAAACATCACGGCCGAACGTTCCAGAATGGCCAAGCGCCCATGAGATTGCTTAGTTCAATCGTGTTAGCAGTGTGTACTTCATACTCCCCCCCCCCCAACTATCTTGGGCTTGATAGTTAAAAGTATATATGGAATATGTGAAAATGTTCATAAGTTGATGGTTACTGTGTCTGTAGTACTGATACTTGTGTTCTGTGTACTTTTAGTGAAGTGGTAAGATTGAAAGCCAGCGACAGATTGGCGTGGACCAGGTGATGTTGTCATCTTGAGGTTCTCTATTGCAGTAGGTGGTGTTTAAGGATGCTGTGTAGAGTGATAGATTTGTGCGGATTTTGTTGATTCGCTGCAGTTGATTCTGCCCTTTTTCACTTGCACGTGTTGCGTTTCTCGGTTGAGATGGTAGAATGCTCTGTCAGAAAGTTGCGAATATTCTCGTGCATAGGGTTCGAGTCATCAGCATGAGCTATAAGTTCTGTGGAGAGTTCTCGTGTTTCAGTTTGGAACAGCTCGGTATCGAATTCCTTTAATTAATTGCCTATTATTGAGGATTGCTTGTGATTAGGGTCAAGAGAATCTTCCTTGTTCAAATATTGGCGTTTGATGGTTTAAACAGAAGTAAGAGGTGTATGAAAGTGTATCAAGTGATTATTTGTCGCATTTAGGGTCAGATCAGTGGGTTGAAGTACAATTTGTCTTACCAACAAGGGACAACGGTGACTTTGAAATCGGTGGAATTTTCTCTTGAGGTAGCACTGTCAACCTTGGGGTATTTGCAGCCTGTTTGACATCTCTCATTATGTCGTCTCATTAGGCCCAGTGATAATAAAAGATCTAGTTTCGGTGTTTTGAGGAGTTGTCATCAGGAGAAATTGAGATGTTTGACATGATTAATTCTATTTTCTGCTTGAGTTTTGTAAAAATGTCAACTTCTATCGCATGAACACGTAGCTGAACGTAATGCCCTTGAATCCTGTCGGCTACTTCAGCCAATTCGCCTGGGTTGCTTCTGAAAGTTCTGGTAACAAGATATGCTACTTTATTCACAGGAAGAATTTAGTCGACAAGGGATTGGATGTGGCGGAGTTGAGATTTATCAGTAGCATAGACAAATTACCTTTCACTCACAGTAGGTTTATCTTCAATTCGAATTTTGAATATTACTTAATTTGTAAATGTAAGACGTATGTTGAGTTATTATTTTATTACAACCCAAGACAAGCTGGAAGTTTTATTTGTACGATTGTTTTTGATGTGAAGGCAAACGGAATAGCTTGTCTGTAGGTTCAAAACAGGATAATGGAAGGCGGATGGATAGAGGCAGTGACCAATGCCAAGGTACCAAATAATCTTATCTCATTATTGTATTCGGTTTGTACAGTATTTGCATACAAGATTTTGCAGTTTCAGAGACCAATCTTCTTTATTTGCTATCTGAATTGCGGTTGTTATGAAAATCAGCCTTGTCACTTCACTTCATCATTTTAGCAGGAAGTAGTTAGCTTAATAACTGTTAATATATTGAGCGACTTGAAGTAGACAAACATCTTAGGGCTCTTATGAAAGTTATACAATGTTTAAAGCGGTGGCAACTCCGCCTTCTATTAGTCTCGATATTAACAAACCAACAGGCCATAACTTCCGGAAAATGCAACTGGTAACTCGAATTGCAGTGAGAATACAGATTTCTTGTCTGAGAGGTCAATTCTTAGAGTAAACAGAAACCATATTTCGACCTTAATTGTTCCAATACACAAAATATCTTCGATTGGTTCTCAAATATTGCCAATTATTAATTAAATTAATAACGTTGGAATAGCTTTAAAGACGAAACAATGCAATAAGTACGTGTCTGAGTATATAGCCTAAATGTGCAGTCTTGTTGATAGTAAGTACAGATATGCATGAATAGTAGCAAAATCTTCCAAATAAAACCAAATTTTCGAGCAGATGAAGATAGGGAAAGTTGGGGAGGGGGACATGAGGGAAGTGCTCAGAGTTGTGCGTTGAGTAGAAAGTGCGCCTGGCAGCACTGCTGGACGGATTGGTAGAGGGTTCTCGCATCGGTGGCTACTACAAAGGCCTGACCAAGGAACCTTCGATAGAGTTCATCTTTAATATCAATCTTGGTGTGGAAATCACGGAGTTTGCGCATATCTTCAACCAAGTAGTGAAAGGAATCAGTTAGCTGACGCTCTGCTGAGTCAATCTAGAGAGAGAGAAAGATGTATTTACTAAGGCTAAGAATAATTGTATAATCAGCTACTTGTCTCAAGGTTAGCGATTCTTTGATTCATCAATGCACCATAATGAGGCCAGCTTTTCAGCTCCCCAGGCGCAAACACAACTGGAGAATGGTATGGCCAAGAAAGCGTCATGCCGTCCTACTTCTGTCCTCATAAAGAGGCTAATCTCAGGTAAGAAATTGGCTTAGTCGAAACTAGTTTGCGCATCAAGCTTGGTGGAAGCCTGACAACCATCCAATAGACTATACCCAACTACTTTCTTTGTAAACAAAGTGATCCGACTGTCCTTCGTTGCTTCCAACTTCCATTAGCAATCCCGCTTTCCATTTCAAAGTCGTGGATTTCTACAGATTGTTGGAACCAGGGCGGTCACTGACCATTTCCATTGGTGCGCCTAAGGTTGAATGTTTATCTCTTCAAAAGAGGTTTGCAAGGTGAGTTCTTGCGGGAATATACTAGTATTTAGAGGAATAAATAATATAAAAACCCGTTTCACAAAAATAAGTGTGGGGTAACGTTTATTGATTCCAGCCGAAGAAAGAATGACAATACGATGCGATAGCAAGTTTGAAGCAATCGTGAAAGAAGTTATTACGAGACGAAAGAGGTAACATTAGCATCCCGTGGTGTCTAGGCCCTCGATTTCTGCCAGATGTCAAATTTATTTCGAGCAAAGAACACTTTCGTTTTGTGCGTGGCAACAGTAAGGCCAGATTGTGTAATTTCACAAATCAATTTTAACACGGCGCCAACCAAAGTGAGCGTGAGAAAACACCGACGTTGATCGCCAAGGCAACGAGTTACGAAAAAATTCTCACACAAGAACAGATCTTAAAGGCAAAACATACGCATTATTCGCAAACATACCGACCCGTAACTTATGGATCTTTATATCCCACAAACTTCATGGTGCATTTTTTCCTAATATCCAACTACATAAACCTGTGTTCCAAAATGGGTGATGGGCCCCGAAAACCGATACTTAGTGTGCTTGTGCCTGACTCGCCTTCAGACAAGATTGCCAGCAAATTTTCAAATCAAAAAGAGTATCTTGACGTCAACGGTAGCCTCAAATAGAAGTTTATGGATAAAGCCTTTCTCCCTCCTTTAAATGGAGCTTTTAAATTGGGATAGGGAGTAATGGTAGATATCATAACGTCTGCCATTTAAATGGGGCTAGCCTTGAGCAAACATACACAATCCGTGGTCAACTGAAAAGGTGGCCTAATTAGAGAATTTGCATAGGGAATCTGTGATAAGGAAAGGGGTGGCCTTGAGATAATTAGCACTTCAATTCTTTTTGGAAATTTTTGCCGAATAGACGTTAAAACTCATATCATTACCATTAATATTTTTAATATTACTAAAGGCCAAATCGCCTTACCTATAAAATATTTCGTTATTATAAAGCGACAAATAATATGAAAACAGGTATCTTCACGTAAATCGTGGTCAAATTTCAATCGCCATAGTGACACTGGCAGTAGTACCCCGGACAAACTGTCAAGACGTCAGGGGCAGGGTGCGCCCGCATATTGATAAGATTGACATGAGATTAGGAGAACATCGACGAGAAAAAGCATACGCCGCGTTAGGAGGCATCCTATAGGAGTGCTGAGTTACACCTCAGTGAAGCGGTATTTGAAAAAGCAAAATACTAAAACTTCTTCAAAGACCTCTGTTAACTAATTTGGCTGCGAGAAGAAGAAACGGTGCTATGCATAGAAAGAACCTACATTAGAATTTTGTCTGGCAAAGGGACAAAAGAATGTTGAAGATATCATATTCCGAAAGTCAAGTTGGAAAAAGTGGAGATATTATCGCAATGGAGGCTCTGAATAAGTTCTCACTCACGTGGTGTTGGATGACTTAAGAAAATAGTGTAGGGAAATAAAGTATCAGTGACCAATGAGGCCAAGCATTCAAAATCCGTTCAAATCTGAGTTCACCTATTCTACTTAGTGCCGCAAAAGTAGCATACGAAATATCTTTAAAAAAGGTGAGTACAAGATAAAAATGATTATATCCGAACGACTTCTAAGTTAAATTTGGGTAAATTAAAAAATTCTCTGCCAAAGGTAAAATGATCATTTCTATAACATGAGAATATGGTTGGTCGATAAAGTAATAAAAGGATGTACGAAGAAATCTCAAAAGAAACTCATTAAATATTTTATTTGAATAAAAAATAGGGTTTAAAAGTTAAATATTTATAGAGTAAAATTTTCACAAAAAGTAAAGAGGAATAGTAAACGTACAAGAGAAACGTCATCAATGTCTTCAACGGTTTGTTGAATCAAGATAAAGAGAGCCCGAATTAGCTCACCAACCCTCTAAAATTGCAAGAAAAGCAAAACGTAAATCCCTGGTAGAAGACATTCGAGACGACACCCTTGACTCAGTTTTCAACTTCGAACACCACATTCAACTATTATCACAATACGCTTGTCGCTTTCCCGAATATTTTAGCCTACCACAAATTGTACTTCGTTGAGCCTTAGACTCATTCTATACCCTCAATTCGTTTTATCTGAAATAATGAGTTCCCAGCCTACTAGTTAGGAGACAATATAATATCTCTTCTCTGTTAACAAAATAGTTTGCCAAGTTTGCTCAGTTCAACTCTGGACGATTTTAGCTAACCATATAAAAGATCGATATAAAATTTTTCATTCCGGAACGTACCCTGACTGAATTCAAGAGCTGTTTGATAGAAGGCATTTCTGACCTTTTTGTGATTGCCAAAATCTGTTCTACTACCCTATAGGTCGATCTATGGATCGGAATATCAGATTCTGATGGTCTGGTGGGTTCGTTCAAGGCGAGATCTTCAGCATTATTCGGCCGTTCGGATATTCGGCTGTCATCTTTGGCTGGTGAAGACTGCTTTGTGGGACTTTTATCCCCGTTGGCTTTGATTGAAAATGAGGCGATATAATGAAACAATTGTCAAATAAATTTAAATAAAAAATTGAGAAGTTACATGTTGAGCTTCTTTGAGGCTTCCTTTCTATGTCTTCAGCGGAAAGACGTTTGGCTTCGGTTGATATCTCTCTAAAAAGTAAGTCTAGAATGAAGAGATGTTACAAAATATATTTTAATTAAAAATGCATGGTCTGAGTAGTCCAATGAAGTACGGAAAATTGGCTTAAAATGCGATTTATTATTAACTAAACAAATAAGGATAATACCTCTTGAACAAAGTTAAACTTCAGGGAAATCGAAACCAGATCTGCATGATTGTCCAGCAACTAAAACTTGAACTTAAGATGTCTGTGCTAAAGAGTTTTCCTCTCAGGAAGTGTACTACTTATTCATGAAAATGTTCGATTTTTTCAGCGCACCAATTCATATAGAAGTCATGTATGAGAAGTTGGAATGAGCCCAGACCGCATTCAACGCACCATTTGACACGACCTAGCCGTCTATTGGAAATCAATTGCTTATCGCTTGTCATTCAAAATATGAATCTTGCGATAAATTGATCTTTACTGTCATATTTGCTATAGTAGACAGGTGGCCTGGTGATAAATCAAAATATTTCCTTATTTAAAGAAAGAAAACATTGCCCATATGTCAATTACGGAGCAAAAACGGCACCTGACGGAATAAGTTGAAAAAAATTCAAGGTGATTTAGCTTATGAATTCAATTATAACCATTTTTAAAAGCGCTTGCTAACTTTTTTGTGAACGCCGCAAAGCAAATGTTACTTCGTCCCCCACAGATCACAACAAAGCATAAAATGCGGTCGAAACACTGAGATTGATGAAAGTATATAAAGTGCGGACAGCGCTCATCATCGTCAGTTTCCAACTTTTCCCATATTCACCCAACTTGCCATTTCCCATAACCTCAGTCTGGATAGATCATTGCGAAGGGCCGCCTTAGATAACGTGATAACCACCATCACCAGTTCTAATGCGATATGATCACCTCCAAGCCAATGCAATATGAGGATAAACTCTAAAAGGCTGGTGAAGTCGCCAGATAGTCACACTCTATTCTAGAGTTTCATAGTTGAACATGAAGTCTAACCTGAGTTTGGGCTGAAGGGTATTAAAGGTGGGTCGAAGAAGGGGGTCATCCATCCAACACTCGAGCATCAGACGGTAGTGACTAACTAGACAGATGTCTGGTCGTGGTAGACGTTCACCTCGACCAACTGCTGCGACTGCCTCCGAGTTCGATATGCTATGGAAGGGCTTCAGGCCGAATGAGAGGATCTCCCACATGCATACACCTGAAGTAATGACGAAATTCTTCAAGTAATAGGAAGTAAAGGAAAGTAAGCGATTTAGTGAAAATCCTCTCTTGACAAGCTAAACATTATATTTTACCATTTTTCACCATACATTGATGTGGATCTTAAACCTTGAGTTGTTTATAAGAATTAATAACAGCAAACTCGTGAAATGCTCGTTTTACACACAGTACTGCTTAAAGTTTCAAGCTCAATTACTTGCCTTCCATTTCCAATCTACCGCCATTTTATGAATGTATTTAGGGATTATCTTGGAGTTACGAAAGAAAGTGAGCTGATATGCAAAGTAGATGAAAATGAGTTAGATGCAACTCAAGCTCTCAGTGCTGTCTGTTGCTAGATGTACCAGCCACAGCAACAATCCGCCTGACCCCGTCCGCCCTAAAGCACCAGAATTTGAACGTTGGGAAAGCGATTTAATAGGTTTACCCTGAAAATATACGAATTAGGAACGGCTTGTAACTTCTAACAGAGAAAGGGGGGTGCTGAAACACATAGTTTGTGTATGACAATTAGAGATATTCCTTAAAGACGTAAATAAAATGACCAACACTTCAAGCATAACACTTTTCCAAATGGAATTTCATGACAGTCTTTCATATTTTCTCGAATTTACCTAGTTCAGTACACACCCAGAATGGTATTTCGATTGACTAAAGTGGCTTAAAATTTCACCCGCTAACATAACCACGAGACAGCGACATCTTCTCTCCAATTTAATGAGCCTCAGTGTCTAAGCCAATTCAAACTTTAAAGTGTTAATTCTAATGTGCTGATTAGCGAATATATGTATAGTTCGTCTCAACATATCAATTGAAATTTCTCACCAAACATCCAGACATCGGAGGCAGAACTGAAGATCCTAGATTTGAGACTTTCTGGAGCCATCCACTTGATCGGGACTTTTCGGCCTTGTTCAGCTAAACCAACAACAAGGAAAGCGAGATTTAACAATGGAGAATGGGAAATATGGTTCACGAAACGAGATATAAATATCCCCATTGTGTGCAACAAATTCTTATTTTAATTATCCAGAAACTACTAACTATAACAGACGGATATTTCCGTTTCGTATCTCCTTCAGAAACCTGTTGAATGAAAACGCTACCCATTTTCCAAAATTATTTCTTTACCACGTTCCCTACAAAAAGCAATTCTTCATAATTCTTCTAAAAAGTACATCTGTGTTCATATTCTCACGCACGTTCTTGCCCAGGTGATTGTAAACGGTCATTTAATTTCCACTCATATACAGACACGTGGGCACACAACTGTCACTTATCTCCCTCCCCTCTGTTCAAATCTGTATCTGCTCCCAAATTCTCTTCCGTATTATAACCATGACTATACAATTGGCCTTATTTAGAACTCAACTTTTGTGTTCTCCTTTGGCCTAGATGCTAGGTACTAACTATCAACCCTTAAATTGGCGAGCTCTCTGCTTTTGTCATTAAAGGGCAAGGAACTTACCAACATAGTAATCTTCACCCTGTACCAACTGTCGAGCCATTCCAAAATCAGCCAGTTTGACACAACTTTCATTGGCCACCAACACGTTTCGAGCAGCCACATCCCTAGTAAAAAGGAGATTGAAGGAGGAGGAGAGGAGGAGGAGAGGAGGGGAGGGGAGGGGAGGGGCGGGAAGAAGAGGAAACATGAGTTGACCGCAAGATTATATTCACCACCATCTCTTTGAATTTGAGACTTTAATAAACCATTTATTAAATTGGAGGTTTCTTAACCCTTTGACTCCAGAATTATTTTTTGAAAAATGCACCCAACCACACTCACGCGTATCCAACAGCAGACTGATGCCACCAACGTGTTGAGTTTTCATGGTATCAGACGAAGGCTATAGGCGCATTGAACGTATTTATTTATATTTATTTATTTCAAATGGCAGGCTTTATTATGATTATCATTAACCCTTTAGCTGACTTCAGGCTTCTCAGAGGAAAAGGAACATCAAAGTGACAAAAAGACGAGAGGGAAAGTCGAAGAGTGGAGAACAGAAGAGCGTTTCAAACAGTGGGGCCATGGTAGTTTTAAGTCAGAAATCAACTGCCAATCAATAGACTTCGTTTGCCGTATGAGTATACGTTGCCCAGGGTGCATCACGTGGAGGTAAGTCTTTCGCACACCTGTTACGAGTCTGTTGTACCAGTGGAGTTCATTTTGAAAGAGGACTGTACGGTGCTTCAGGGCCTTTAAGGGTTAAACTTCTCATTCTAATTCAAAGGGTAATCACCTATGAAATGCTAGGGAAATGAGAACACTTATTTAAACACAGGTTTGGCATTGAACTATATTCTAAGGTTACCATTAGTCTAAAAAAGTCCCATTAACACTTACATAAAGCTGGTCATCATTTGAGCATAACTTCAGCTAAAATTGACTTAAGCGAAGTGGATGTGTTAGAAGGCTGAGAATACTGAAGCAATCGAACAAATGCTGACTATAAAGAAGTCGTTTTCATATAAGTGCTGGTTAGAGAATAATCTACTCACTTACTATCAACGGTATCAAGAAGAGAATGCACTTAAATATTCTCAAGACCAATGGGCAACTTATTGATCAGCTGAGAGCTGATAGTTGCCATGTTCTTGATTCATACCTGGCAGAATACTACAGCATATAATGCTTCAGCATAGGCTGTTAAATCGACGAGAGAACTTAAAATGTATAGACGATAGGCTTATCAGGAAAGTTCGCAAAATATGAATAAAGAAATGTATACTTCTTCATCAAGCTAAAGCATAAAATTCTTTAAATCATAAGCAGTGAAACAAAAGCGAATAAAAAACTGCTAAAACATCAGGTGATGTGAAATTCAGAGAAGAAAACAGATCTTTGCAGTCATCAATTGGATTTAACGAAAGGTTTGGGAGCAATAAATGAGTTGAATTATCTCCACTCTCTTTATATTTAATTCATCGCTATCATTAATATATCCATGCGATAAATTGGTTCAGACAACATGTTTTTCCTCAAAGATACCTAACTAATTCGCTCCGGGCAGATTGGTAAAATGATCGAAGAAGTGTAGATTCGTATACAGAAAAGACCTAGCGATTGTGTCGACTTCCTTAGTGTTATCGCAATTTTGGCTTTTGCGGCTGTCTTGGCACAAATATTTGAAGCAATTTTAAACTTCAGCATGCCATTTAATTACCGATTTCAAGAATGGTATAATCATACTTGTTATAGTTAGTACTCAATTTAGCAAACTCAGCTCTCTCAATCCCCAAGAAATATATCGCCTCATTTCCTGTTACCTTCAAGTTTCCCTAATTTTCTGCAAGATCACTTTTGCAGGTGAGTTGACCATCCTGGAAGGAGGCATTAACTGCGATTTTGAGCTCCCTTTTTCGGTGTCCAATCAACACAAATATTGTGCGTAGGAAACGACGAATATGGTGAAATTGAAAAATATCTGAGTCACTTCAGGAGCCTTAAAAAGATAATCGTCTGATGAATTCTCCAAGCAACAGTTCGAGGTATATGCAAAACAGATATGCAAGTTAGTAATTCATGAACTACTTTAAGGCAAACTTAGAAAGCAAAAAATACACCGATTTCGCTATAAATTTGTAATGCAATACAAACATGCAAGGAGGGATCAAAGGTTATTATTGCAGAAAGGAGAAGTAAAAAGAAAGGTAATTACCGATGAATGACCTTCAAGGCCTCGAGATAAGCCAACGAGGAGGAGAGCTGATGACAATAGGTAATGAGGGTTGATAGTGCAACTCGACCTTGCCGCTCGATCAGATAATGCCGAAGCTGTAGACAATTAAGTCAAATGTCATTATGCCGAATTGGCTTTTATTATGCCATTGAGGCATCACTTGCACCATTTAAAATGTGGATATGTTAATTTGTCCAATGCCAACTTCCAATTAACAATTTGGTGCAATTAAATATTTAATAGCTTGGCATAAATTAGGTTGATCGAAAGTCAAAATATCTCAGTCAGTTGGAGGTAATGGAAAACCATGCAGGTGGCACGGAGGCCATCGTGTTCACCTGTCATGTTAGAGGTCACAAGATCAAATGCAACCTGCGCACAACCAGCAATGTGGGTAAAAACCGTGGCAGTCGATAATAGATACAGCAAAATGTAAATTTCGCACAAGGGCGACGACTGCAGGATATGTTTTCCCAAACCAATACTTCATTGATCTTAGTCACTGAACGATTATATGAGTGGACTTTTCGGGTCAGCACTAATTAAACACCAAACTTCCGTTATATTCGAGAGAAAGAATATAGTGCCTAAAAGAACATCATGCTGGTCATGACTTGGCAGTAAAACTCTTGCCAAGAAGCCACGAGACTTGCCAAAGCTGAAATTATTGTGAAGTTTACTGCTATTATCCCTTGCAAAGATGCTAGGATTTAATCTCTCAAATAACTTTATTATCTCAGGAAATGAAGAAAGACGCCAGAAATACTGGAGATAGCCATTGTCGAAGCGTCTTCTTAATAAAGCGCATTTTCAAATCGCGAGCGGTTTTTTGAAAAAATCAATATTTTTTTTCAATATAATCTCAAACTGAAACCAGCACGTCTGTAAAATAAGATTTCTTATCCCTAATATCGGAAAATAGTAGAGTGCTCATTTATCATCTAAATATACTGATTTTCCTAATTGCTCTCATGTGAGATGACCAACACTGAACTCAACTAGAGATTTTTACACACTGATAGAAAACGTGACAACTAGCTGGAAAAACATACGTGCCAAGCATTACTTGAATATGTTATAACCAGTAATTAGCTAGTCTAACTTTTAGCACTATCTTTGCACATCATGTATGAGTCATCAGATGATTTGGAAACTGGTAAGCACCAAGATTAACTTTATTATGGTTCATTACGTTGTTAAGGTTTTAATAAAGGGCAGTTATTTAAAACATATTGACGAGGTCTCTTTACACCCTTTTAATTAGCATTTTTCACTTAAGTGAAGCAATTTATGCGTTCATTTATGTTCATTACAAGGCAAAATATGCACTTGAAGCCACAGGAAGTAAAGAGTTGTGTGAAAACGATGAAAAAATGGTGAGGCCACAGTGGGTGCATTGGTGAAATCAAAGTTCGTGCAAACTCAAAATAGGCAGAAATAGTTTGCACACTAAAGCAAGAAAAATTTCTGGAGAAACTTAATGTCATTCCGGTACATAACTCAACTAAACTCATAACGCCTCTAGAATTATTTCTAATTTGCATTAAAGCACTAGGTGGATACACAGTTGACGAAGCGGAAAGGGATTTTTTAAGGAGATTGGACGCCCACAAACAAGGCTAAAAGCAGATACACACTGACTTGACATTTTTGACAGTTGACTTGGCCCAGCGGTAGGTTGACCTTCAACTCGTTACACCCCCCCCTCCCCCCCACCATCCTCCCTCGTCCCACATAAAGAACAGAAAAATTAATTACTTCCCAAACGTTTAAGTGATTAAAAAAGCACATGAATATAGACACGGCAAATGAACTGCATGATTTTTGTTTTGTTTGTGTTTAAAATGTATTTTTAAAGGTGCTAATGGGATGTAGTGGATTGACCAGCTTTCTAAAACAGTTTAGCCTTCTACCAACTAACAGTGGTGTTATTGGAGCTTTGGTGGTGAATCATTATGCAGGAGGTCCCCAGAAATCGAATTATAAATTTGAATCAATTGAAATGAACAAAATTTGGCTTCGTTGTGACAAGTATATAATATTACTTTAGTATTAAAATCTTCGAGTAAATCACGACAGTGGATTTGCATATCGATTATCCCACATCACACTAAGAGGTATTGACTGGAGAAAAGGAAGCATTTAAGCCACTCCCTCTCAAGGTGACCCTTATTGAGAATCCCAAGTTTGCTCCCAGATATCGATCTTCCGTTTGGCAGAAGTCGTTGACTCTACTTCTTTGTTTGCCTAAATTTGACCTAGGATAGTCGGTTACAATATCAGGTGCCATCAAAAGTTGCAGTCCCAGTTGTCTTTTAAATTTTCATTAATCCCGCTGCATCTTCAAAGTAATTGGATTTTAGAAGCAGAAATTTTAATGCCTACACACATCACCACAAACTCGCCAGGAAACATTGTGAGCAATTCTATTTAAGAAAGTAGTAAGCAAGTTAGAAAGGTTGAGGTAGAGCACTATAACGCAAAAAATCCTAAAATAACACGAAAAGGTCAGCGGTGACAAATAGGTCATCAGCCGTGTTAGAGGTAATGGGTTCGAATTCCGTTGGCATACACCCACTGGCCAAAATTGGCCAACGAATTCGAGTCTTCCACCAGGAGGACTCAACGATGCCACTCTCAACTCAAGATGAGCACTGGAATGCGCCTTCCAAATGGACTTGGAAATTAGCTACCAAAAATAGCGGTAGATATAGAATAAGGGCAGGATTGTTTAGAGGAGGTAAAGAATTAAAGATTGCGGAATATAACTATTAACTGAAATTGTTATAGCTGGATTTACTGATACCTGGCACTACTTTTACTTAGCAGATCTTATAAAATAATCGGCAGTGAGAAAGGGAACTTTTTTATTATTTGAAATGCACACCAAATACCTGTCAAGTTGAAAATCAACGAATTGGCATATTGTTTCAGTCTTCTAATTTAACAAATTGACCTTCAAAATGTGCTTCTTATACCAACAGTTACTTAAATTCATTTTGTCTCAACGCTGACAGCTTTTAGTTCATAAAGGCAAAGTTTGACCCAACATCTTCTAAGCAATTTTAATTTGCAGGCTCGTAACGTATAAAATTGTTCAATTAGAGCACTGTTTACAACTACGTGAAGTAGATCGAAAATAGAGAATAGAGGTTTGCTAATTGTTCTCAACCGCATTTATTGCTGCCAATGAAGAATGCATTCAAGTGAAAAAGCATTGGATGGTAATTCGATTTTACTTACTTCTCCTTCTGTGGCATACTCCAATACCAACCAAACTGGCTCATCTCTGCAAACCCCGTAGAGCTTGATTATATGCGGATGGTTCAGCTTTCCATGGAGATCTGAAAGGAGAGTGACAAAGTACTTCAGCAAATAAGCACATAAGTAACTTAAAGATAAATGCAAAAGACTAAAATACAGTTGTGCTTTGGTGAAGAGTCGAACGAATTGAATTTTTCAAAGAGTCAGGAAACTGACAACGCCATCTCGGATGGCTCTCCCACTCCTTGATGAATTTGAACTGAGTTCTGATGGAAAGCCTTGTAAACTCGATCGATCGATATTTTTTGAAAACTAATATTTAATACGATGATACATCTGGAAATTGATGCACTAACTAAGCATAATTCAGAACCAATGAAAATCTAATTCATCCGCCTTACTCATGCCATGATTGTATTGTTGGCAGATAAATCCAAGCGGCATTTTTAAAACTTATAAATATGAGGCTAAATAACATTTCACTTTTTTCATCTGGAATTGAATTAAAAGTCCCCTTTCGTGTGACGGAATTTGAGCGCATGCTTGAATTCGAATGCCATCTCACTCTTGAGGGTCAGTTGGGACATACGAAGATTTTGCCGATTTGAGTGAAATATAGCCATCAAAAGGCAATTGCATACATTGCTCGCAGATATACTGCAACTATACTGGACCTGTGAGCATTGACTTCTTAGCTTTTGTAAAGCATTGTATTAGAACATGCATCTTCCTAATTATGCAAATCCTAGGGATGTTTTTGTCGCTCTGATCTGTCGCAGAACTGTCTGAATGATCAATCGCCACTTCGGCACAGGTTTTGTTTATCGACTAGTGTCACTCGAGTCATGAATTTGCATCTGGTAAGCACCTAACTGATGCCTCCTTGGTGACACCAACTCAATCGGCGGGGGGGGGGGAGGTTTATCGTCGCTTGAGATCATTGTGCTAATTGAATTTTTACAAATCACACACTTCTATGAATACAATTTGATTTAGAAAGAGAAGCTATCTCCCCCCCCCCTTCAAATCACTTCTTTTACATCGTAGTTTCTGGAACGGTGAGGAATATTTAGCTCAAAGTCCTTTACCGCAGAGGATCAGATGCAAATGATGAAATTTTTCTAAAACACAAGTGACAAGAAATGTAAAATGGATGGGAGTTAAATTCAGGCTCGACAGGTCCAATAACTAGCAGAATTAGTCAATTGTCTAATTAAACGATAGCAATAGCTAAAGTAGTTTAGCAAGAAACTTACCTCCACGTGGTGCACCCTGGGCAACGTATGCTTATACGGCAAAAAATTCTATAAACCGGCAGTTGACATCTGACTTCAAACTGCCATGATCCCACTGTATTTCGTACTCGACTACTTTCACAGTACTCATCTCACCTTTTCTCTACCTTTGTCTGTCTGTCTCTTTGAAACACTCCTCTTTCCCCCCTCTCTACTTTCTTTCACTTTTATGTTCCTTCTCCTCTCTATGACGCCCGAAGTCAGCTAAATGGCTAATGATAACTATCAAAACGCCTGCCATTTGAAATAAATAAATATGTTAAATCTGCTCTCAAAGCCACTTTGAATGCGAGTTACGAACTAATAGTTAAGTTAAACCATTTTTACTTTGCAAAGAGACAGAGTGCAATTGTACTATGAACCTCAAAAATAAGCAAACATCACGGGGCAACAATATAGACCCCCCATTGGCTAACAGTTATCGTTAAAGCTCGAATTGCCAAAAAAGACGACTTGAAGATCATTTGCCACTGAACATCACCTCTGAACGAACTAAATGGAGTCTCGACGACTGTAAGCCAAAAATCCCATATAGAATTTGCAGTAAGAGGACGGGCTCTAGTTTGAAAAGAGGCCGGAAACCCGCCAAACTACTGCCCTTCCCAGACTCATGGACTTCAACTCCACAAGAGGGAAGACAGGAAGGGGGAATTTTCTTGGAAAACAATGAGTAGAAGTATTAATAAAGGACAACACATATTCGGAAATTTATAAACCGCCTACGGATTGAAGGAAGTCTTTAAACAAAAAAGTAGAATACTGGGTGAAATTTATAGACCAGTTTGACACAGATTATTTCGATGTTACCAACAGGTTGCTATCTTCAATGCCGGCAACCCTCACCAAAATTATAGGAATTGCATAAGTATCACAGAACAATTGTTAAGGCATTTAGAACTGAGAAATGGATGTAAAATATACTCCAAATTACGCAGTTACTGCGCAAGAAAAAGGACTTATTTTAACAACGAATCTGTACTTACCAGCTTCCTCGAGCCAACGTTGCTTTTCTTCGGTTCCTAGGCCCGCCTTGCAGGCCTTCACGGCGACAGAGACAACTGAGGAACCAGCCTCCTGAAAATAAAGCAAGTTTTTAACGTAGGAAAAGCACTCAATGATATGATATGAACTCATGCATTTCAATATTTCATGGGAAAAAGGCCCTATCTGGAGTCTCGAAAAGGAACTCAATTCCTACATTAGTCTGAAGTTTCTCTAAAATCGTAGCAAAAACTTGATTTAAAACGCTGCATGAGCTTTAACTCATGAAAGATGGGTGTCGCATGATCTAATGCTTCAAGTTCCATTGATTTATGGACAATAGAGGAGATTAATCATTCCACTACCTCAAGTATACTTCATTGCCTCAGCACTAACACAGTATTGACTGATGTTTCTTTTCATTTTCCATAGTAAGAAAACATGTGAAATTAGTCGTTGGATGCGTATTATCCGATCAGGAACAGAGTATCCACTGTGAGAAAGAGTTATGTTTGCCTGGCATTGGTTGACTACTTGGTTGATCCATGGGGGAGAATAAACCTAAGTTTTGAGGCTTTCAGACGATCGGGTGTATTTTTTACCAACATGTACTTTGAGCATCAAACAGAAGGGAACGTGATTAATCAAAATCATCTTCGTGGGTGCGTGTACTTAAGAGGGTGCTTGAGAAGAACTTTTACAGTTAAACCGCCCTAATTCAGACTTTTTAAGAAAAAGATCGTGATTGAAAATGCTTCTTTTAGTTCTACTTAAAAGATGCGACTGCAGAAAGGCAAATCTTGAACTTTGTATATTTTATAAAGAAATGATGTAGTAGCATACTTATCCAATGGAAGACCGGCAAAATTAAAATAATTCAATTAAAATATTCTCGGAAAGAATTAAGCCCGGTTGGTTAGTGGGGGACGTAAGTCTCCAAAGGTCATTAGAAGTGGCATCTATCGTGATAGGGGAAAATGCTTCCTGACGTCTGCATAATCCACTCTATATATTAAGGGCGGGATACGTGATAGACTTATCTCAATGTGGTGCTCCCTGGGCAACCTATAGTCATGTGGTGAAAAGCCTATAAACTGGCAATTGACTTCAAATTACCATGACACGACTGCATATCCTATTCGACCACTTCCACAGTATTCACCATACCCTACCCTCTACTTTTGTGTCTTTCTGTCTCTTTTACATCCGTGAATCACTCTTCTGTTCCCCCTCTCAACTTTTATAGCTGTGAAGCTCGAAGTCAATTAAAGAGCTACGGATAAATATCAAAAAAGCCTGCCATTTGATATATTAAAGGTATTGACCTCAAGGCTGCAAGACAGGAACTTACCGGTGGTCGATAAGTGCCTTTGTAAACATCTCCAAACTGGCCCTCTCCCAGGACACGCTCGAGAGTGATGTGGGAACGAAGGAGGGTTTGGTGACTTTGGGGAGACTTGGCAACTGCAAGGAGAGAATTACTTTATGTGTGAGTTACTGAGACTGTGGTTGCCCAATATAGAAAACGCGTAGTGAATAAGCTAGGCCACAACAATAAATGTAAATAAAAATATAAGCTAAAATCTCAACAATAGCAGCCTCTCAGTCCCTGAAAAGACAAAAAAAAACAAAAAAATTCCGAATCTGATTTACGGTGAATAATTCCAACCGAAAATTGATCCTGGGTTCCTCAATAAACCCGGCATGTCTTTAATCCATTTCAAAGAGAAATGAAGGACATACAAAGCTAATCTCCAAGCTGCCTATCCTCCAAAACACTCCAAAAGAATATTCATAATTACCAGACAATCTCCATGTGAGGATGACAGTGCAAGTTTATTACAAATTACTTTTTTTTAATTATAAAAGAAGTCAGAAGTAAAACTAAATCTATCACCAACTTTCTTAGTAGTTGTATGAGAAGTAGACGGGGACAACAATTCAACTATGGAACTACTTACTAGCACATGGAAGTGCATCATTCCCACTATTCGAATATATGCATGCAAGCGAGAATTTCAACGCATTCTCGTGGTGAATTTTCGTGACGTGTAGCACATGAAAGACGTCAAGGCAAAATGGGCTATTATACTGACCAATAGGAAACACGAACACTCGTCCAATACATGATGAACGGCCAAGTGATACAGGAAACCCACTATTACGTCTCCAAGGTTTATTCCCATTGATTTCTAATTTTGAACAGATGGAACTCACGGTGCGGAAACTTGGAAAGGACCTTTACCGCTACAAGGTGCTTGAAAATGACTGAAAGTTAAGTTTTGGATTTAATTGCAGTTATTTGAATGTCCAACATCTTTTTAAATATGATATGAAAAGATCTAAGAGGTTCCGAAATGGGCTTTTCTTTACCCCATGTGGATACCATAGATCCTCATCTGCCTGCTTCTCGGAGTAAATGAATAGAGGTGTCATGACGAATCAAGGTACTACATCAGTTGAATTTACCCTGGACCTTGGAGTTAAATAGCTAAATAAGATCACAAGCGCAAAACACAAATTGAGATACATTAAAAAACATGGGAAACCCGATGCTTCCAAAATTTAAGAAAAGTAAGAAGCGAGATATCCTGGTACTTCCACCTACGTCCTTAACATAGTTTTATGATTAATGCGCTTATTTGCTATTTGCTCTATTTTATTTACTACAACTCGTGAAATTTTGTTGTGTTACCATGAGCAGTAAAAACAATGATGTAAGTTTAAAACAAATGGAGACTTACTTTGGTCATATGACGAAAGAGGCATGTGTGGTCTATTGAAAAAATAAGAAGGAGAAATATGTTAGAAAAGCATATCAAAACGTCAAAAAGATTTACTCTTATTAGCATAACAAACAAAGCACAAATGGTGAATTAGTGTGCTTAAATACTTTTCCTTGGACAAGCGCAAAAAGAGCGTTCCAATTAGTCATAGTCAAGACAACAAAACCTGAATTAGTATTATTGGTTCATTTAAACACAAATCACCTGAAAGGGCAGCCATTCACAAGAAGCGGCGCACGTTCTTTGTTGGTGGAGGAATTCTCACGCATATCCGGTGACAGCTTGCAATAACCCTCGAGGGTATGAATTACGGTATCAGCTGTTAACTTTGAATCGAAAGTGAAGATTATTGGCTGTTCGCCAACTGGGTCGTTGGAGAGGATCAATTTGATTTGATATCGTCTGGTCTCCTGTCGAGAAACTTCCGAGAAGGCTATCTGCTTAATACTAGCGAAGTAACATAGCATTCGAACCTGTAAGACAGAAGGTTGTAGCAATGAAGTAAACGATCTGGATTTGAATATCTATATTTAGTTAAAAGTGCATGAGTTTCTGCGATTTTATGAATTGCAACGCTCTTATATATTTGCTTACTAACCAATGGAATAGGAAAAAATAAGAGATAGACCACGTCTACTTAGTAGAACCAGGAGGGAATAAACTATTTGATACAGCCGATAAAAGAGACCATGCACCTGATAGCAAATTATGTCAACTTAGTACTTCCGAAGAATCAGATCAGTGTTAGTATAAGCAATATTACCAATAGAGATATTCCCTACAAATGAAAGAGTTAGCAAATGAAGTCACTTGAAGAATAGAATGGATAAAGTAATTCATAGGGTCAGCTATGGATTCAAGTCCAAACACATTTACCTTGTCTGAAACAAGGAAAGAACACGAATAGCAATGATTATGGGGGATCGAAAAGGCGTCGAGAGTGAAATCTAGGTACATTCCAAAAAAATCAAGTTAATGATTTGTTCTTGTCCGTGATAATCAGTTCTTATTTAGATAGGTTGTTGAATTATGGTGGTCTGTTTTGCAATTTGAATGTTATTCATCCTCTGAAAGATAGCCAACTCTGTCCACAACAAGTTGTATTCAATCAAAATGAAAGATAGCAAAAATAAGAGGACGATTAAAGTGTATGCCAAATGTAGCTCTAATACTTAACAAATCTTAACCAATGGACAACAATGATTGCCTGAGGAAATGGAAGTTTTCCATGAAATATATTCTTTGTGCTCAGATAGGAACCATCACCAAGAACAAAAGTGGCATTTGCATTAAAGCTTTAGCCATTGCTATCGCTCATCCTTATCTAAGAATAGAAGGAATTCGCTCTTGCTTTATCAACAAAAAAAAGCTATCTCTGCCTTATGACCATAGAAATTAACTGCAGCCATATCTTATTAATAAATTCGGTGATAGAATAGCCTAGTTTACTGAGGTGAAGTCACTGAGAAGAATAAAATTCATGCCATTGTCTACCTGAAGACTGCAGTGATTTGAAATCAAAAGGCAGAAAGGCAGAGAGGCGATCCGAGAGGCACTAGGTAGGTTGGGAGGGGAGAGAGAATGAGACATGAATTGAATCATGACCCAAAATGAATAAAGAGCAATAAATGCAGAGCAAACCTTTAATTTTATTTGTTTAATCGCCTAGAAGTCGAATTCAATTATTTGAATTTTAAGCTACCCCCCAGAGATATTTTATACCAATTAAGTTTTCACAAGATCAGTTGAAAAAATTACCGACATACTGACCATAGCAAGAAGTTATGAAAATAACAACAAAATGTATAATCCATTAAAAATAGGACAAAATATTCAAAAGAATAAGCTGGTATTAATAGTGAGGCGTAAAAAATCGGACAAATAGTAAGTGAACCTTGACATTTAACTTATCCTTGCGTTGCAGTCTTTTCTTAACAATTCGTAGATAGCTGCTAGAGTAGTTTACTACTTTAATAACTTTGTTCGCGTAAGCCATCAATGGGATAATTTGAAATAAATAACCATCATTGCATAATAAATTCACAATATAAAGCAATGCATATACAAATATTTGGCATGCAGTACTTTTCCATGACATAGAACTGCTTAGAGATTTAATTCTGTTGCTGAGATACATCAAGCCCCTAGGTCTCATTCCAAATCGTTGAAGTTTGAGGAATAAGCCTCGGTGTGGACCAATGGGCAAAGGGCGACTTAACTCTGGCTTCGCAAGGGATCATGTCAAACACTGCGTCTTTTTTACCTTACATGTTTTCAGCTTGTTTATTTAACATTAACCTATCAAAGTAGTACGCCGTATTTGCTGTGATAAAATTGATTGAACGATTTGTTCCTCATTCAATTTGTTTCAACGATCACTAAGCAAGTCGCATGAGACTCCAAATTTGAATGGGTAATAGGATAGGGATGTGAATGATTTCATTAGTTTTATGAGTCACATAAGATTCACATTACTCCAAACCCACTAGATCGACTGATTGTGCTTGAATGGCACAACTTTACCGAGTTCTTACTCGCATTCACCATTTCCTTAATTATATAAATAAAGTTGGATGAATTCTAACTTATTATTGTCGATATAACCACAACTGCTAGAAGCCTAAAGGGAGGGAAAAGTATAATAAAGAAGATATATTCACTTCTACAGAGCGGCTGTCTGTCTAACCGAAAATTGGGGTGACTATTGTTTCGACGGTGGGCTCACACATTCATGCAGGAAACAAGTAATCAATAACCACTAATCCAGTGCATGCGGATGGATGGTACGTTGAGTTTCGCTCGAGTGCATCAAAATTATTTGAATCGGACAAATTAATTTGTTGATTTTCATTAAATGTGCTCAATTGCAGGGTTATAACCTTGCGGAATTTTGGAGCAGAGTCAAAACTGAAGCAATTATTGGGTTTGGGGATTTGTGGCTATTTTAGAGGTTAGAAAGGTTATAACATATAAACGTATTAAGCGCAATCCCTCTTTTGCACTTGTATCACGCGTGCATTTATTTCTAAAATGGATTACGTGCGGCATGACGAAGCACAAGTTACTAAGACTTGCTCGTGAACTGACTATAAATTAAACTGGGGTTTCATATTTAGAAATAGAAAATACTAAAATATTCAGGAAACCTGGATACATATTTAATTTAATTTAATTTTGAATGAGAAATCTGTGATTAAAATGTGAGACTCCTAGGGCTTCAGATTTTGGTAAATTTGTGTTCCAAATGTTGCGCGAAGTACGGATAAGAGGACAGAGATTTAGGATAGATGCTGATTCACCACTTTCTACACAGAAGCGTAACCACAGTCACGTAAGGGGGCATTTAGGAGTTACCTCCGAGGCGTTACAACCCCACCGCCATCCAGCCAATAGCAGTGTGCAACTTTGCGTGTATTGGGTTCATACCAGACATAAAAAGACCTGGTTGCTGCAGCACCCGACGCTGTGCTATAAGATTGTGCAAGATCGAATTCAATTTCAAATTATTTTAAATCATCCGCAATAGTGTAGAAGTTGAAGATATAATCCCAGCAGCCATCTTACCCATAATATTTTATTCGAACACCATGTGACTATCTCGAAGCTGTCGTAGATTAACAGTCTTTGGATCTGATTGTACTGAAGTATTGTTTACTGATTTAATACCCTCTTATTAGAAATTGAATTCAGTCACCAGCCCGTTAGTAGTTCATTTTAGACGTAGCCAAAGAATGTAGCGAAAGAGCTATCAGAAAAGTGCTTTTGAACTGTGAGAAATCGCAGCCAATGTGCAAGTCCAATAGGCACTTGGTTTGTTTGAAGAATTTTAACTTCTTCACTACGGTGATATGGCAAGTTTCAGAGATTAGTCTCCGTTCAGTACAAAACAAGACGAAGATTATGCAACAACAACTGTTAAGGTTGTTGAAACTAGGCGGATCATTCCAAAGTGCCTGCATTTAAAAAGAATATAGTTAATAGCACAAAATAGGAGTGGTAAACAAAAGCCGAGGACATGGGCAAATTTAATTCAACCAGTAAAAAAGGACAGCTGAAGGTCGAAATATTTAACGGATCTGAAGTCGCGCTTTCAACAAGGATTAGCATGGCTCCTGACTGCTAGTCAGTTATTTGGGACAGGAACCGTTATTGAAATGGTGGTGTTTTAATTGCGAATCCTTACTAACACAAAGAAAGCTTACATCCAAATATGAAGCCTTTCTTCTGCAAATAGTGTCTTGGGATAACTACTTTCTATCTCATCATTCTCTCCGAGTTTAAGTTAACGGTAGTCTGCCAATTGATGTTGACAGATGCACTAAACGACGGATACAATCTACGGGGATGAATTACAATAATGAAAATTGACTTGTGAATGCGTAAATACGGAGACGCGGCTACATTCAGAAAAAATATAATCTTCAATTCAATAGCCTTTGGGTCTAGGATTATACCTTCAAATATAAAAACAATGAGAATGGTCTTGAGAACACTCAGCACTAGTGTCGAAGAGTGTGCTAACTCGTGTGTATTGTAAATAACCTTTGAGATAAAATCGAAATACACATCTATCTTATGCCTTTTCGCCAACCCCTCCAAACCAACGCCAAACAAAACAATTGAATTTTTGCGACTTGGAAACAGCCAGCATTTCAAAGTCTCATTCTTGCGTATTTAAGTGTCAGGGGGGGGGACATTTTTAATTCCCAAAAGTAGCAAAATGGATTGCGTTTACTTAACCAACTTTCTTCCCTAAATGTGTCCTCGAACTAATGGGAAAATTGACTACCAAATAGTAAGAATATGCAAGTTTCCTGCATTTTTATTTAATCAAAAAATAACATTAAAAATGGCGCAAAAAGGAATTTGGACCTTCCCTTGTTGCCTAAAAAACATTTTTTTACAATTACATACCAAGTTCTTTCAGAAATAAGGACACCCGCTTTGCACTCATTAGATTAAGTACGATATTTTAATAAGGCACGGCATAGTTTTTCTAGATACCAAACGAATTATCACAGCACAGTTAAAAATTATATAAATTTTTCAAATAGATTCAAAAATATAACAATTTAACAATTCCTACGGATAACGATGTAGAGCCAAACCGAACGGATTAATGAAAACAGAAGACCTTCATATGAGGTTTTTTCAAATATTGAATGCAAAAAATGATAAATTGAATAAAGAGAGATCAATTTTCTTCTAAATACGTAAAAGATGATAGTCAAAGCAAAGGAATTAAATTGAAGTCGATAAATCAAGTGCCTAAGTAGAAAAATTTGACAAGTATCTCAAATTCGTATGAAATATCCAAATCACGATAGTCTTTACATCTGAAGGGAATCATCGCAATTCTATACTTTAATCTTTTAAAAATTAGTATTTAATTTTAAATATGGATACAAATAAACTCACTTCATTAGCATTACCAATATTAACTCGAACCTGTGAACGAGGACCCAAGAGAAGACGCACGGGGATTCCCAAACCAGCCTTAAATTATTCAGAAAAGATATTATTTAAAGACAAAATTAGTCTGCAACTATTGATGACATCAGACAGATTAATTAACATACCCCAAGATAGCAAGAGTAAGAATCACAGTCGAATTGCGTTAGGATGAGCAAACGATTAAGACGTTCAAGCATACAGTCCTCTTTAGAATAATAGTATATATTCGGTGCATAATTTACTATATCTCTCTTAAGATATTTAACCTAAAGATTAATCTAAGAAAATAAAATAAAGAACCTTTTGACGACGCAATATGTGGTTTGGAAAAAATGAGGAAAGACCTCTTGATTTCTCAAGTTCATCCAACGACTCGTCAGTGATATCGGAATCAAGGGAAAATCTTTATTATTAAAAAAAATATTCAATTTTACCTGATCTGCAAACAACCGATTTCGAAACACGCTTGGCTATCTTTGAGATCTTCCCAAAGGGAAACGTAAAAACGATTTACTTGATCGTGTAAATAAAATAGAGCTGAACGATCTTTACGAATGTAATCTTCAAAATTTGTTGGATAGAATCTGATTGAAAGAAGAATATTTTGTTCATTTATAAGGCTAACAATTTCCGACCAGGATAAAGCCGGGCAAAGAAATTGTCGGTCCTCGATGTATGATCCAGACTCCAGAATTTCTAATCCAAACATAAATTTGGCACTGGATATCGGAGCTTTCTTTATTACTGCCTTGGTAATTTCCTAAGAGAATTATCTCTAAAAACATCATACATCAACTGTAGTATTGGCATCACATTTTAATTTAACGTATCCAAGAAAAGTAGACACGGTAATAATATCTGATTTATACTGTTCCATTTTATTCAATAAACTTATAAGGATGTGACTGAAGTGGCCATTTTCTTAATCATATTATTTACGAAATAGAGACGTCGAAAGCCAAGGTCAAATTTAAAATGGTAAACGAAGCTAAAGTTGAGCGCTCAACAGGACATAACAAAATATACACTTTTGTAACTTGTCATAAGAAAAATGTGAATTATATTAGTTGTAATTATTAATTAATTAACTAGTTCCTGTAACTTTAACGCAATTCACTAAACTGCAGACGATTTTTCTGTTTCTATTATTAAATTATTAAAATGAATGATCTCATTTCATTACGCCTCTTACATTTTTAATAGAATTTCTTCTCACTTGTGCTAGCACAGTACTTAAAGCATCATTAAGTTTAGTAAATCAGCTGTGATCCTAAATTTAAATAGATTCTAACTCATTGGTGCTACATCAGAAATAGTTTGACCGGAATATACATACATTTATTTATATACGCAACATATGTCAAGAATTGCCTGAAATTCGAAAACGATAAGAGTTCCACTTTGACATATTCATTTGTGTAGATATTGCCAAAGTGTTAATCATCACTCTACAAAGCTAATGTTTAGTCAATACTGAACGAACAATAGGAAGGCCGTGTATGTAGTTAATATTTTTATCTGATAAAGCCGTTATGGGTGATTAAACTGAATTACTCTACGCGGGGCCTGATTCACACAACATTGCACTGATTAGCAACATTATTGAAATTAAAAGTGTATCGATACATATTTTTTAATTTCTTCACTGCCCATTTTAATAATTTTAAAACATTATAGTCAGACACCAGACTTACAATCGCAATTCAGTTGTAATTTTGCAAATTTTGCTTTGAAAAGTTCTTTGAATCCTGAAAATAACATTTGAATTAAATTATGAAGGCATGCTTAAGAAGAGTCTATTAAAATGTAAGTACGTCCCCCTCGTAAGAAAATTAATCTAATGCAAATCAGAAGATACACTTGTTTGTTCAATAACCAAATTCATTTTCTCCTACAAATTACAAAATTCTAGCGGACTGCTACACTAGTAAAGCCTTGACCGACTCAGAAATCTCTTTATGGAAGTATCTCCTTTATCAGAACTAGTCAAGCTACAGCGAAGCTAGTGAGGAAAGAGACGTATTAGAAAGAACTAGTTTATTTTAAAATACGATTTCGGTAAATGCGTATGGTTATTAAATAGATTTAAAATAATTCAAGTGAGCATTAATAGCTAAATATCTCTGAGCAGTGTTCTATACGTATGGTCGCACACTACAAATCCTGGCATGTGTGCCTGCGCTGACGTGTCCCACAAGTCTCAGGAAGAAATATTATTCCAAAACTGATTAATTTTATTTTTGCTAAAATTACAGAAACCTGAGGAGTGGGAACTCACTTCGTGCAACAAAATTATGAAGAAAGATTAGTTACTTTATTCAGTGCTTCATTTATTCAAAAGCTTAATTTATCCATTAATGTTTATTGTATGCTAACATAAACTACTTTTGAAATTTAACCAAGTGCCCAAGTAAAATTTATATGGTTTTGATGTTGAATACATCTTATATAGTGGAATTCTTCAAAAATAAGTCTTGACTTACCCTCGGTAATCTCAATGACAAGATCTCCCCAACAATATATAGAGGAAGCGGACATACGCGTGGAAAACTTTTATTATGGACGTCAAATAGCTTTGTCATTAAACGCAATATTAATCCTCTTTCTATTAACAGTGCCCGATCACATTTCTGTGTGTGTTCAATTTAATTTAATAACCATTGGTTAAGTGAAAGTGGTTAAAAAGATAGAGAAACGCTTTGTCGGACGTGTAAAGTGGAACATTAATTCAATGTTGTAGAGTACAAATTGCTAGCAAATTAACCTAAGCAAACTCATATAGCGATGCTAATGCAATTAAGGAGCAAATGAGGTAATGAGTGTAGACACCACTCCATACTAGCAAACTGTATCATAGAGATCAGTGAGGATGAGCCAAGGCTCATTCCTCCAAATAGTAATTTCGCATCATCCCCATGGTAGGTCATGGAGTGGCGAACTCAATCAGCATTCATAATTTAGCCTGTCAGCAGCTAATCCGCCTTCTCTAAAATTGAGCATCCAAATCAAATACCACTGGTTTGTTCAATCAACTGATCAATTAGGACGAAGCTCGATAGTGTGAAAAGTTTCAATATCAGTTTTAAACAGTAGTTATATGGGAAGACTGATTTTTCTATCTCTACGCCATTATAACATTGATGGCTTGCGAAATTTGAGGACATCTCGAAGACAGATCTTTCATTATTATATGTTGAAACTCAGTAAAAATAGGCGAAGTAATTCGAAATTCACAATGACAGTCCACGTGTAGAATTGGTTCAACCACGGTTTGCGATCACTTGCATGTAATACTATTGATGGTGATAATCTGTGAGGCTGAACACATAATTGGATTAACCCAAACTTTATTCTCCATAAAAAGAGTGGCAAAATTCCATCAGACATACTTAATAAATGGCAATTTATAATGCAGTGGAGGATAAATACTAATTGGTATTAGGCGAGAGATCATACGATTATCGAAAACAATTCCTGCTTTCCAACTGCTAATCGCGATACGATCTCCCTATTACACAACATGAGGAATTTAAGTGTTTCATACTTTATTTGCAATTCAGTAATTCAATCTCCCAAGCACTTTGCATGGTGTTATAACCAACAAAACCAAGCTCACATACGCTGTTGATGAACAAGACAATTATTTGAAGAAAATGAGTGTTCATAGTATTTATTTGAGCAGAGACTATTTTGGGCTCTCTCAAGGTATTCGAGCAGGATCGTATTCAAGATACCTACCAATAGTGGCATACTCAACTCTCACATTTGAATTATGTATACTTCTGCAAACGACAGATGTCATTATTTGGAAAAATTGCGCATAGATTTGTAATATCTACCAATGAAGAAGTTTATCAATAGTCAAGTAAGAAAGTGATTGACTGCAATCTTCATTATTCCAAACACATTCTTCCCCCATCTGAGCCTTCTCTGATGCTCTCATATTCACTAGTGTTTAATGACGCACACACTAATATTGGAAGAACTGATCGACGCAAGATGTTGGATTGCGAGGATTCAATATAGAACACCATCTTAGGTTTGAGGGCACGTTTCACATATTGAAAGTGAATTAACTGAACCAGATTGAATCAACCGAGTCATATAGAGCAGGCCATAATGAAATCACTCTTAATGCGTGCGTTCCATATGAATAAATTTTAAAGTGCACATTTCTCCCACAGTTATTAACACTTGCGCAGTTCGCTTTTATTCATTCATGCAATTACAATGCATCTAGCCCTTTAGAATAGGCTTTTCAGCCATCATTCATAGTCAGTCATTGGTCGTTGACACAATTCCATTCGAAACCACATCTGCCAGTCGAAAAATCACCTCTAATTTTGCTCTAATGCAACGTACGCAAATAGATAGTTGCACCTGGGGATAATTTGTAGAAAATAATTCTGCATTCTGTCAAATGTCGTCACTTGGCCTGCTAATCGGATTGCCTGAAACTATGCAAGCTTATCGAGAAATCACCTGCACCTTGAAAATGAATAGTCTATAGGAGGAATAAATGTGACAAACTGGAATACACAGTGATTGTTTAAACCAGGCCAGAGAAAGTGCTGTGCCGACTCACTTAGGTAATTGCATTAAAGCTCTCTCATTTTGTTTATTGAAATTCGAGCCAAACACTAGTGATAAGTGAACACATTCCATTTTTGTCTGCACTGGCTCTTTCTACCTTACACGAAGGATAGTCAGGAATACAGGCAGGTAGATAGGCAAACAGGCAGGTAGGTGGTCAAACATATCAGTAGATGTGAGAGCCCCCATCCAGTAGGACCCAGGTAAAATATATTCCTCGCCTCCACTTGGTCATGGGTGGAAACGCCAGCATCAAAACTGGCGGCTAAAGAGGACTCTGGTCAGAATTCGCCTCTAGCACTTACTCTTCAACAATAGAATACTAATGAGTTTTCAATTTGAAAGAAGTCACGGGCATGATCCGCTTATCTCATATAATTGCATTGTGTTCTCTATTTCCTCACCTGCCTGGTATTCACTTTAAATGAAATTTCGCTCTGTTTGCAATTTTTGCTGGTTGTCCCATGTATCACTCGAATACCCACTTATATCAATTTTTGTCAACCATATCTCCTGTCTCGCTCCCATTTCCGACTGAAAATAAGCTATCATTCTCCATCACTGTCGTCTACAGTAGTTGCCACAAACCCATCATGGCATGCTGACTAATAAACTGTTTTGTTTATATGCATTCTCTCTTGCGATGGGAGAATTGAGCCCTACTGAATCCATCCAGCCATCATTCTATTGAGTAGGAGAACTTAATTTTAAAGCAATAATTGTAGATTAGTTGTACTGGCACTGCTGCAGAGAGCATCAGCATTTCATGTCCAAGTATGCCGATTGGAAGCTGTGAAGAGAACTGAAATTAAGGTGTGGTAGAAGACAGGAAATTTAACCGGAATTACTTTGGAAATGAACTTCAGGCCAAGCTGGTTAAACTGGTGGAAAGACACTCATTTTACTCGACGCTGAGTTGTAGTATTTTTAAAGCATAATCGATCAACAAGTAACTTTGTATTAACCTTGCTTAGGTTGTCCATAACAAACGGTTGGGAGAGAAGAAATGTGCATGAATTACAATCAGGTGTGGAGAAGTATATGTTAAGCTTTACTTACGTTGTGTGCAGAATTAATCAGGAAAGGAGCAACATTACATAAAAAATTGAGTTGACATATATAGAAAATTTCGTTCAAATTTCATAGTTTTACTTTCATATTTAAATAGATCTTGCAAAATTTGCTGAATAGATGTTATCAACGTAATAGCAATGCGCGAAAAATAATACATTTAGAACCAGATCCGAAGATTTAAGAGTTTTAAGAGTAGTGGTGTAGCACTTTGAACAGAATTTGATGGACAATTGAACTCAATTGCAAATGTGCAGGCAGGGAGCTAGGAGACAATTCATAGTGGAACATCGACAATAAATGATGTTACAAATGAACGGCTTATTAGGAACAAATTTATCATGCGCATCAAACTTGCAAATTATCTTTACTTAAAGCTGTACATTACAAAAACTAAACATATGTCTCAACTATTTGGATATTGTTTCCATGTTGAAAGTAATCGTAATTTTAAGAAATTTTATAAATTTGAGATTACAATACTTTTTATTGATGGTGTATTTATTGAATTTAATACGACCTTTTGACACCATTAAGGATAAACTGCAATCTATCTGCGTATTAGGATAGTTCTTGGGACTTCGTCGTTTTTAAATTTTCTGATGATAGAATGGTCAATGAAGAATCTACCATTAATTCAGTCTTGGAACGTCTTATAAAAGTTCGAGATGAAGGCAAGAGCCGTGTGGTTGAACTTACCATGATTAACGAAGAAAATAAGAAGGCGCAATTGGTAATTTGCTTTTTCCCATTAATTAACATCAGTTTTTCCGGACAAACACAAACCCAATAATAAGTCCTTTGGTGCTTACTCGCGAGGAATTTTCTTGTGTTGACAATGTTCCTTTGAGCAAAACAATTTTACGGACCTTAGAAGGTTTATATGGTTTATTTTAATTCATTCTTCTAGAATCATTCAATACGCTATGATTTTGTTTGTGGGAAAACTCCTCTAGGTTTTTTTGGTTATCTGTAATTATTTTGTCAATAGATTTTTATCCTGATATGCTTGGTTTTACTGCTCTTTGAAAGCCAGGAATATTTAGATTTTAGGGTTCATTAAATTCTACTACTGTTTGTGTTGAAATGCATAGATTGCAAGATTCAACAGATGTTAATGGGTATCACACATTAGAGCTCTTTTATGACAGTGGGAATGCTGATTATATGTTTTAATATAGTATGGCATTATTATATTTCCAATGTGAACTTCCCCTTTTTGCGGTTTTGATATTTTTTGTCTTAAATCGAAGGATTACTGGGAAAAATGTATCATTTTCCGTTCATTTGATGTATTTTCTATCGTCCTTTTCTATGCTCATTTCATCACACCATCTTTCCGGTCTCTTTGTTAGTGGCAGTTCAGCAACCAATCGCTCTTCAACAACATATTGGTGTGACACTATCATCTATTCTTTTAAAGTGGTTAGATTCGGATGCATTTCTTCTACCCCCAGAGTAGTAGTCAACCATTTTAGTTCGTTGTTGAAGGTTGAATCCTATAGTTTCCTTCCAGGTGACCTTATAGCTCTCGGAAGATGGAGATGCAGTATTTTTGCAGTCTCAAGTTCATTTCGCAGAGGCAGACATTTCTACCTCTTCTGGTGTGTTCCTTTTTTAGGTCTTGATGATTAACCGAAGATGGTGGTATATTTTTAGTAAAAACTGTTTAATTATTGGCCTCGTGTCTCAATTTTTGTTGTCAGTTGTGCTTGTATGTGTCTACACGTGCAGGCCAAAAATTGTGATTGGGTGCCCGTTTACCGTAAGGAGATATGCAGGTGGCTTATCCAGACAAGGGTTTGTCAATGGTACTGAAGTTTTTGGAAGTCACCGAGACGATGCTTGACAAGTATTGAGAGAAATGCAAATATCAGGCTATATTTACGGGGGAATTCTTGAATATATGGGAAGTAATGCGCTCAGTAACTGATGGGAGCTTTAGAGGTGAGATAAAATGCTAAGTAAAATCGAGTATATTAGAATATCAAAATAAAAATGAGGCTTGCACTAGAGCTAAAAGTGTCGACACTATGATTTTTTATCGAAACAGCATATATGAATAGTTTTTGCCAAAAGACCCAAGAAGATAAAAACGCGTAATCTCCTATAGATAACGTCAGTATGCACATAGATACAGACAAAATTGCCAGACAGAACTAGACATCGATGGTCTCTTGAAGTGCCATTAGCTTAGCATTTTAATAAAGTGTGACAATAAATTGAATTTTCTGTAATCTCCGAAATTTCCCAGCTTTGAGTGGGTTGACGTATGATGTGATCACATTCCGGAATTAATCAATAATAAATTCAAATTTCTCTATATTTACGAAAGTGTTAATAAAGGTTTATTTAGAATAGATTTTAAATACCAATAATTTGTATTTCGATTTCTTCGACATAGATGTTTCATAACTACTTTTCCATAAAACTCAACTGCGTAAATATATACTAAAAGTACTTTTAATAGAATGATTATCTTTCAAACTAATTTTATACATCTTTGTAAATACGATAATCCTTAAATATATTGAACCAATCACAGAGCGATCATTGAAAATGGGCGGTATTTAGCATTCGAATTTACTGGGGCGCGTTGGGGTGGCGTTTTACTTGCCTTCTTGTAAATTTCCATTTCCTTATTTCATAGTACATCATATATTCTGATTTGATTGTACCAGGCATTTTTTTAGAAATGGCTCAGGCCCCTCTTATCTTGACTTCAATTTCAGACTGCGGTAAACAAGACGCAGTAGTTGTTTGGGACCCTATCCCAGGCAACCCTGTAGCGAGTTTCAACGGTGAAGTTGTGTCCCCGGGGACACTTGCGGTCTCTAATGGTGTCATTTTCTCTGCCGTATCCCGAAAGCCTCTAATTCAAGCCTGGTCTTTCAGGTCCGTAAGTGCAAATATTTCTATATATACACTGTTCTGTTTTAGAATTCTTCCTTCAAGCGTATTACAACTAAAGGTCCCGTTAATGCACTCGCATTCTCTGATGATGCTTACTTCATGTATGTGGCAATTGAGAAGAGCGTTTATGTGTATCAGACTTGTAGTGGATGCTTGATAGCAATACTTGAGGGCAGCCACATGGCACCCATCGATGCACTTATTGTTTCTCAGGCTCGCCTTCATTCAGCTCTACCTCTGCCTCTTCTTCTCTCATCAGATACGTCTGGTCTTCTTGCTTGCTGGCCTGCCCTTCTCTCTCCTGACGACAACTTTAATATCGGTAAAACAGGCTCTAGTGAGTCGAGCAAATCATACCATAAACCTCTTTGGTATGTTGTTCAGGCCAGTCGGGGTCTCACTGCTTGTGCTTTTGTTGCCGATGGCCGAATGGTCGCATGTGCCGGAACAGATGGCCTCAAGGTATTTTGAAAATGAATGTGCTTCTTAATTTGTATGCTGACGGTATATGCTCACTAACTGTCACTGTAAGGTTACAATGCTTACTTTAAGTAATGCCGAAAAATTTTTACTTAATCAAAGGTTTTGAGGAATTAATTATAGTTGAATGTGGTTGAATATCTGTTTGGGAACATTAAATCATGGATGAACAGTGAACTTCATGATGATAATCTCACAATTTGATTTTCTGAGTTTGCTCATTTTAACTTCTACTTCTCATTATATAAGTATTCAATGCAGTGTTACAATTCATTGCGCGAATAATTTTATGGTTCAGTGTTTAATTTTTGATCAGCAGTGGAGACAACGCTTTGCTGATACTTAAAAAAATTACAATTTTTATTTGTCTACAATGTGACTAAAATAAGTTATTTCTGGAAATGTTCTTTTCCTAAGACGAATTATCCAACTTTTGTACCTCTATTTCTCACGCCTTTTTACGTAACGAAACGGTTTTAGTCAACGAGTTTAATGATTAGAGGTTAATTTATGTATTTATCGTTTTTTAATGAACTATCTCTATCCTCACTTATTCTTACATAAGAGTTCTCTTATTTTGTACCTAGCTTCTTTTTCTACTTCAACTTTTTATACACATTGGCATTTGACTGAGAGAATGCATTTTCCTTTGTCAACCATTTTTAAAACCATTTCATTGGAGCCTTGTATTTCAGTTTTGATAAAATAACTTTTTGTTACCTATTTTTGCCACTATTTGGCTCATTCCTGGAGGAAAAGACAGATATACAATAGTGTATTTAATGATTGAAGATCAGTCAATTGTCTCCATTTTCTGATTGACCAGGTAATTGCCAAATTCGACTATTAACGTGTATTGCTCTTTCCACGACTACACTCTTGACGAATTGTCTGCGTTCTGGCAGACGTCTATGAGTTTTAGACTTATAATCTGAATGTAAATTTTCTGTTGCTTTACAGTTGTTTGCATCGGAGACCGGTAAGCTATTTTACAGTACCCTTCTGGAGTCTCAACCTCTACTGTGCATTTGTGCACTACCGCAAGATGATCGGTACATTTTCGCAGGAACGGACAATGGTATCCTGCACTCCGTTTGGCTTCGTGATCCAATGGTTTGCTCAACTTTCTCATCTGCCCATTTGAAGCATCAGCTTATGTTATTTTTTGTCTTTTAGGATCCTTCTTCTTATCAAGTTTCACTTCGAAGATGTTTTACTGATTCTGAGTATGTTCATTTTCTCTTGTGCTCTTGGTTACAGTCTTTGTTTCAGTCCCAATTATTGTTTCGCCTTTGCAACCTGAATTGCTTGGCAAAGTCACCCTGGCGTGAATACTTTTTACTATTACTTTGAAATGTAAATACTGCAGACTGGTTCAAGATTAGGCATTAATGTCTGTGTCTGTCTAACACAAGTAAATGAATTTTGCGATTCGAACCTTGAAATATGGCCCTTTAGTTGATTGAAGTGCATCTTTGCCCTTTTAGGAACTGAAATCTATTTCCTGACGCAGCTGAGACTTGCTGTTTCCTTGCCAAATATTTATAAAATTAATAATCTTCTGTTTGATGAGACTGCTGGGAAATTTTATTGCACACCATAACAAGAATGTCGCATTTTTTGCTCCCTTGATGTTTTTTGGTTCATTAATCCATTTAATCGCAAGCCTTCGATGCTACTATTACGTAGGCTTGCGTATGTTTGTATCTTTGCAATCTGCTACTAACAATTTCGCTTCTAGGTAAAATGCGCATATCACTATCCTTTCTTCGAAGATTTTGCGTTAGCATTACTACAGATGTTACATATATGAAGTACCTGAATGATTAATCACATCGGTTGCTCTCGTTCCAATTAATTTTTGCGAGTCCCCTATAGTACTTATTGTTTTATTGTAGGTGCTCTTCCACAGAAAAGGCAATAATAAGTGTTTGTGCTAGCCCGATCGATTGCGGTTTCCCTCTTCTCGTTGTGAGCACACGAGGGTGTCTCGTGGAAGTTCTTCGTCAGGACTCCACTCTTATGCGTTTGCAGTGCTTCTCCTTGTCTCCCTCAACTGGTATTGCTCCTCGTTTAACAGGTATCATGTTGGTGCCTCGCCCCTCGTGGTTGTTAGATGCCCAGTCAACATCGGTGGGAGAGAAGTCTACAGATAATATACGGACAAGGGATAGAGATGCTCTTGACACCATACAGCCCATCAAAAGATACGTGGGTTGGCAACCGGACGATATTCTCCACATACAATTATCAAATAATAAGCGTGTAAGTTTAGACCTGAGTGCTGTGAATCCAAATCAGTCATTCTCATTAGGACCTTTAAATGCGTGAAATTGAATCATCAGGCCGTTTCAATTTTATCGTACTATCTGGAGGTATCCTTAAAAATTTACTTGAATGAACTTTAAGATCTTTATCATGCTAATATTATTGGTCTTGAAGAGAGAAATGTGTCAAAATGGCGTATCAATAATATCCATGATTTTGGTATCTTGTCACGTTATCTCGTTTATCCAAACGGTTGTAATATCTTAGAGCCTGGAGAGTAGAGTGTGTCTATGTAATCATATTGCATTTTCCATCTCCTTGGTTATATTGTATTTTGCTTGAATAGGTTATTTAAAAGTGGAATTGAAACCAAAGAAGGTAGAGAAGTAAGTTTATATTTATTAGAGAGGGATGTAATTACGTGGTTTACATAATTACTCCATATTCCTTCCGCCTATAAGTTGTAATCTTATACTTTAATAGTTCATATTAAGATAATCAGTTTATTCTTTTTACTTCTAGCATCGATTGGCTAAGCCTTATCTGGAAGATGTATACCACGATGCCTTCCCTAGATCAAAAGTTACCTTACCTACTGTATATGCCCCTACAAAAGCCACAATTAACTTCAACAAGGCGGCGGATGGTGCTATTGGAGATGGAGCGGAGTATTCGACTGAGTTGTTGGCGTTGAAGAGCGAGAATGAGGCCTTGCAGGCCCGGAATGGAGAACTAATGCGCATTCTTGCGGCTAATTGCTTACATTATTGAACAAAGTTACAGCGCAAATTATTGTAAATAGCCATTGTTTTCTATGCTTCCCTCTTGAATAAGTCATCTTTTTCTAGTTCGAATATTTTCTTCAAGCACTAAATTATTATTTTGGGCTTGGCTTCAAGCTAGTTTCTTTCGATGGATTGCCACTAAACATTAATGAGGGACACGAAGTTAGTTACGGAGATGACAGACTACTGGGGAACGATTAGTTTTGCTTTGGACTAGATTGTAATGGTAAGAAAGGAGGCAATGCTATATGTAAAATTTATTTTTTCATTTTTCTAACCTGAGATAGTCGGGGTGTGCTCCACTGTTACACTACTTAATCGAATGTGAATCAATTTCCACCTACATTTGGACTATGTTCTTCCTATTTTAAACGTTTTTCTGGTTTAGGAAGTTCCCTGGCGCTTATTAACATTTGAGCTGCAATCCCCACTGAAATCGGATTTGTTTCCAGGTCATCACGTGCATACCGAAAGCACGTTGGATAAATTTGCGCCAGTTGGGATTTGTTCTATCTCTGTTAGTGCTTAAGTAATATGCCTTATTTCCCAACGTTTAGTTGGTCTTCGAGACCTCATTGGCGATATTTCGGCAATTCTTCGAAGTTGGGCTCTTTCTGTACTGTTGCCCGTTAGGTATCGATGGAGTGCGATTGAGTCGCTCATAAATAGAGCTAAGACATAAATGCTGGCCTCCTTCATAAACTGAAGCGTTCTGCACTTATTACCTAACCAGCCAAGCAAAATTTCTATAGGCTCCCGATCCCGATACATGTTTATTTGAGTGCTTTCTCGGGGTTTTCAGGCGTCTGTTCATTTGGGTTGACTTCTGGGAAACTAAACTGAGTGGTGACCGGTGACTATAACACGAACAGACTGATTAAGTAAGATGTCAATCTGCCTGATGTTACGAAGTAGGGCAGGTTAATGCATTGGTTTCGAAGGTGTTGGCCTTCAATATTTCACCAATGTAAAAACATGTTAGTTTTTTACCCAGTTTTCTGCATTCTTCATATTGATTTTTTTATACTTGTAAATCGTAGTACGATTTTATCAACAAGTTAACTGTTAACGGATTGAACAATACAATTATTCCTGAAACTAGGACCTTTCGCTTGGCTGGTTTCCTCCCCAATGCATCGTTATGTACAAAGCCAGGGCGTATTGTAAGCGAAACGGAGACTTATAAGCACCTTACCGGGCTGATGTTTAACGTTTTTTCTTGAACTCTCGACGTAATACTTTGGTACTTTCATATATTTATGCAAAATTTAAGACCATTCAACGAAGCTATGAAATTTTTTTCGCATACAACAAGGGGTACCAAACATTACCGTTTAAAGATATAGCAAATGATAAACATTCAAAGCTCCTTATTTTATGTACTAAAATGCGAAATCTGTGCAATCATTTCCCCAATTCGTATGATCTCTGTGACATTGAAAATAATGGACTTATTGCAATTGAAAAGCTGCAGATGTGATTCATTAAAACATTGGTAGAGGGATTCCGTAAAACTTGCCAATATTATATCAGAAAACATTTTGGATCTTTGTAAATTTCGATTAGATAAAACCTAGTTACATCGTGCGATACCCAGACAGATCTTAGAAGAGACACAGATGACAAAATTGGAGGTGGCCAGTAACATAATGAAATGAAAACAGAAGAAAGAATAAACATGGGACACATAAATGGAAAAGAACTCAGGCTTTAATCATTGGAAACGGAAGCTAGGAGTACCTTCATGTTTTGAACGTAAAATACGATTTCGTAGTCACCGTGGAATACGAGCATTAATTAACTATTTGACACGAAGTTTTATGCGTAAAAAATGCCTTCATTATGTATAACGTCATCAATCAGTGCTAATCATGGATAATATGCTAAACAAAATAGTCCAGGAGTAATAAACAACAGCATTATTATGATACATACGCAAGGTTAATTAAGAATCGCTAGAAGGTGCATAGAAAAGGAATTCATGAAAGATTGATTAAAAATACAAAATTACTGGACTAATGCAAATTGTACTGCGTAATTGGATTTACTCTTAATTGTGATGACTCTACATTAGGACGAGTGCAGCAGATTATTCAATGCCGTCTTTTGGTGTTGTGAATTTATTTTAAAATTAAGCAAAATAACTATCGAGTCAATTGAATGTCAAAACTAAAATTTCCATATTTTTAAATTTAACGAAGCAAGAAGATAATACATTTAAATTTAAAAATGACATCATTTCAACGAAATATATTGAAAAAAACTTGCTGGTTCCCAAAAGATTGATTTTATTAATAATGTGAACGCATTGAATATTTATTCTTAAATGTTCCCTCATAACATATATTAACATCTTTTTTAGGAATTGAAATGCAGCTCGTTCGCATGTAAATATGATTTAAAGCCATTAATAGTATGCTATATATTACTTTATCCTTAAAAACTTACACAGACAGAAACATTGGCCAATGAGGGTTAAATGAAATAAGGACAGATTTGAGTGTCGATAAAATATAGGACTTCAAGTGAAGTCAAAATCAGTACATTTTGAAGAAAAAAGTAAATTAAAAGCATTCAATAATAGCTTTTATTAATGTCACGATAAAGAAAGAATTCGAATAGGTAATAATTGTTTGCGCGAACTACGAGTTATGGTAAAGGTTTTGATTTCATTGGTTGGTTATGATTATTTCTTATTTATTGTTGCTATTTGCATGTGAATACTGTTCGAATAGTGGTTTAATTTGTAAAAATTATAGTTTTATTATTTATTCTGGTTTTCTATATCCTTTTCTCTGCGTAAATATTTTTTACTTTGTATTTAATACCATTAAACCTTTAATAAATGGTCACCTCATTTTTTTATTTCGTTTTTATGCAATTTAAGCTTGAATTGTAGTATATTTTCTCATTTACTTTTAAGACACAATGAATCCTGACAATGAAAATTCTAATTTTGATATGATTGAAAATGTTGGACCCGATTCACCACCAATTCTTCAGCAATTATTTAGCAATTCTGAATCTCTTGAAGAAATTGACTTCCCTACAAACGATTTAAAAATATTGTCAAAATGTGTGAAAGCTATTTCTTGGACTGTTCCAGTCGAACCGAATCGTTCCTTGGAAAAGGTTTTGTTGGCTTGCAATGCGCTTGCTGAAAATGGAGAGTACAATAATTGTCCTTATTTCAAGCAGTTTTTCGAAGATATTGCTGTTAGTGTATTTGAAAAGTTACTGTGTGACAAAGCTGGTCAACTTTGGGATGATTTGACAAATGTAAGACATTCTTAATTTTAATATTTTCTCCAGCATTATATTTTTGGACATTGCCTTCTTACTGTTCGGATATTTGCACTATTAGCGGGTTGTGATAATGTCGATATCTTTCGCCTTATGGAACTGATGTTTAATCCTGAATCAAAGTAATGTCTTATTATTATCATTCTCACATTGCTTTGTAGCTTTCATTTGCGTTGTAATATGGATGCACACGGTAATAACCATATCAGATTCGGGAACGATTTCAGTTATATTGCAAAATTCGACTTTATTGCATCAAAACTTCCGGAATTAGATTCTTCTACAGAGCACGCGAATCTTATGGTAGTTTGTTTTCATTTTCCTTTGAATGACCATCATTTAGTTATATTGCGACTCAAGTAAATTTGAGTTCGATGTTTTTTTGGCCGATTTTATCAACCTGTTTGGAAGATGCGGTGGTTTTGATAATCTTCTAAGTCGTTTTCAGTGCATTCAAGGAAAACCGATGCCCGTACCTTTGATATACACCTACCTCAAGCCTTTTCGACTTTGCTCAAATCTTTTGACAAACGATGTTAGGAAGCATTATATTGCACCAATCATCGTAGGTCTAACCTCACTCTCTCCTGCTTCTCTGTCTTATTTGTTTCAAAGATTGTGGTTTTTAATCTTATCTTAGGACATCGTGTTGAATGTGATAAAGTGCCTCAGCGAAGGTGACGTTGGGCAGTTACTTCGAGATAATCAAAGGGGTTCTTTTCTAGGCGATTTCAGCATAATCCGTAATTTGCATTTGTGCAGTATTGGAAGCTCGACCTTTGCTCAAGACGCTGTCGATAATATTCATCTTGATTTGATCTTGAAAGTCATGAAGATAGACCTCTTTGGGGCTAAAATGAGCGCTCTAACTGAAATCAATAACAATATTGAGGCATCAAACCGATTGTCCGTTAATTCCTACATCTCAAAGGAAAAGCTTCTTAATTGTCTCAAAGCAAATAAGGTTGGCTTAATGTCGGCTCTTTGTTTTTTTGATGCTACTTTCCTCCTTTTATTTTTGTAAATTGATATATTACGCAACATGGCGTGTTAATTGTGATAAATTGATTTACACAGGCGTGTTCTATATTCATTTATAATTTTAGATTTTATCAAATCTGTTGCGAGAGAATTTACATCAACCGCAATATGTAAAGAAATTGGCACGAATAGTGAGGTTCCTGCTCGAAAATGATGCTTTGAGCTTTGAAGAATTGGATGAAATCTGGCGCACTCAGACTGGGAGACATGATGTCATTGCTCAGAACGTCGAGTTACTTATTATTCAATCGGTTAAGTATTTTTCTGCTGGTCATCTTGATCAACTTTTTGACTCTTTCAAGGTATGCATATACACATTTGTACTTGTAATTAACTAAATGTATTTGTTACGTATTATGGTGCAACCTTTTTTTGTTTTAGGCGACGCTGCTCGGTTCACCTAAACAACAGCAGGAACGTGTTATTCGATTAATTCCTCGCCTTGTTGCAGAAGATCCAACTGGGATGGCTCAAAATGCTGCTGCGTTTCTTTGGGAGTTGAGCATCCGACCGCTCCTCTTGCCAGAGATCAATTTAACAGCTTTAGAGACTCATTACGAAGTTCTTGCCATCACCATTCGAACTGGACTTGGTTTTGTGGAGCGTTGGCTCGGGGATTTTGCTGAAATCATAAAAAACAACACTAACGACTTTGCTACAGATTGTGCTGCTCGACAAATGGTTAAAGTGGTAAATTTATTGATGTGATCCACGTATCCTTTTGTAAACCCATCTATATATATATATATATATCTTGACGTTTTCTTTACAGTTTCCCTTGCTGAACTATGTAAATAAGAAAGAGATGTTAACTAGGATATTATCAAATGGACTTATTGATGATTGTATTAAGGGTCTTAAAAAGTTTGTGGACAAGCACATTAAAAGTGAGTTTTTCTCACCGACGATTTTTAGAGTTCTTTCATTTTTCTCTCACCCACTTTTCACCTTTTTTTAGTTTCGAGAGCGAATGGATTGGAATCAATTTCATCACCGGCTCCATCGACAAGCTCAACGCTAAGTCGAGGAGAGTTAACTGCAAATATGTTTGAATCGATTTCAGCTTTGAAGTCCACTTCTTCCGAAGCCTTTCACCACGCCGCATCCTATTGTTGTCAGATTCGTGATCGGCTTGGTTTGATATATTTTCTCGGGACAGAGTCGGATGAGTACTTGACGATCGCGCAATTAAATCAATTGTGGAATTGTCTCGTTGGTGATGTGATGACAGAGGCGGCGGATCATGAAACCTCCTCCAATGACACGGACTCACTTGTTGGAGGGATTTCTTCTTCTTTTTCAGATACCATCGAGGGTCGCAATATAAGTTTCAGGTGGTTCAGTCCCGCTACCAATAGTCTCGTGCGCCCCTTTGCTTCTCACTTTTTCAAAAAGAACATAATGAAAATCAAACCAGAGCTCTTTACTCCCGCTGCCATAGAGTAAGTTGTCTTAGTCTAACTCCGAGAATGTAATCGTTGTTATATGGACTGGGTTCACCTTGAGGAGTGTTCATGAGGCTAAACCGCTCTCTTGATTTGTTGATAAAAGTTTGATTGTTACTGTCATATTCAACTGCTGATGTTTCCCTGTAATGATTGACAGATATATGCATATTCGCCTTATTGTTGCGAATTGCTAACTTTTTAATTGACTAATGTTATGCTAAGTATAGTTGAAATTTGCTTTATTTGTGAAACAACTTATCACACTTTTAAGTTTTTTTTCAGGCTTTTCAAGGATTTCTTTGTATTCGTTAATTTTGAGAGCGGAGAAGGCGATATTGATCCAGATAATCCTATGGGAATCGACTTTCTTTGGAATATTGTTCTGACTGCTAATGATAAGGTGGCTCAAATCGGCATTGAAATGCTCTTGGATATATTAATTAAAACACGCATGGGTGGCACATTGGGTTCCAATTTCACCAGCAAATGTCGTGACTGTCTCAAAATTAGTTTCGACAAGGTTGGTTTCATGCTGTCGCTTAGCATAAATTCCAAATTTTCCTCCAAAGTTCACACTTTCCTTCATCTTAGATTCTTGAAAATCTACGAATCTACGGTATCTCCTCTGCAGATGGCAGCTTGAGCAGAATCTACGGCTCAGCTTTTCAAAAACAAAACGCTTTAGCCATATTTGTGCGCGATGTTGAACAGGACTTGGTGGTTATTGATAGGGTAATTCGCGTTCTTCGCTGTTTCCTCATTGAGAGTGGGCGTAATTTTGTGATTCTTCGCTCGAGACTGCCTCTTTTCCAGTTCGTATATGCATACATACATGCATATAATTAGTTTCATGTTCTCTCATTCTTATTTATTAATTTTTATTTTAAAGGTCATGGTGCGGATCCACGTTACTTGTCACGGTCAAATTTGAAGCGATCGTGGAAGACACAGATGTCGATAGAGAGTTGAATAAAATCGGAGCAAATGGTGGATTTAAGTATTCCTCCCTAGTTCGATACATTGAGTCTCATGCTAACGAGACACTTTACAATTTACGACGGCGTATACTCATCTTGCGTTTGATGGATGTTCTTTCGTCTTCAAATTTTTTCTCTGAAAGTGATGATGAAGCTAGTAAAAACGCTAAGATAGCTAGCCTTGTGGACAGGTTTTCCGTTAAGCTAGATATTCCAGCAACTACACCTCTCAATATCAGTCTTTCAACCTATCTACTAATTAATCCGTGCGAATTTTTTTTCAACGAGGAAGACGCTACCAATGTGTAAGTCCTGGAAAAATAGATGTTTGAAGCAACTAGTGTCGATAAAGCAATATTTATTATAACTATCATAAAATGCAGGGTCAGCTTCGATGCTATGCTTGTATTGATTTCAAAACGCGGATTTCAACATGACTCGGAGGACCCCGTTGAGGAAGAAATTCCACAAAGGAACATAAGTGAGTTCTCTTCTTCCTCTTCACCAGGTAACTGCTCTTCCCCAATATATGAGAGAGAGGAAGAGGTTGATTGCGCTTCTCCTCCACTTGCTCTTGAGGGAAATGAAAATAGTTTATCCCGATCATCTCTGCTAGGCTCCTCGTCACATCTTCAAAACTCCCTAAAGTCCGACCTTGAGCCGTTCGATCAATCAGATGGAGATATGCCTAACATATTTACGGAGGCCAATTTACCAGGTATGTTTCCATCATCATCAATTTTTCTTATTTGCCTAGATTATATTATATCGGAAGATGCGAACTTTGTTCGACTTCTTTTCGATATTGGAAACATGACTTTTTTCTTGGACATGGACGAACTTCGAGATAGGATTTTTGACGTTCTTTTCTCTATTCCTATCAACGTGACCTACCAGAAGGCTCTCCAAACATGTTTTTTCTCGCCTACTGAGTTGAACAGACTCAAGGATCTCTTGAACACCTCGTTCTGTGTCCTAAATATCCCCGGTTCTTCTCGGCAGAATTGTGATGATTTCGAACACGGTGGTATTACTCAGCAATTGTACTTCCTTCAGGTAGGATCTTCCTAACTATTTCATTTCCTTTAGATTATTTACGCCAATTTATATCCCTCTACATCGGCCAAAACTAGTGATCCAGTGCACATCGTCTTTTCGGAAGAAACTTTCTCTTACATGGTGAGTGCTGCTCCTCGCACTCATTTTCACTTCTTTCTCCCACTTAATCATCTTTTTTCCTTTTAATGTAGCATTCATTTCTACGAAATGGTGGCTTATCGACCCTCCTTTCATCTTCAATACTACAAAACAGCAAAGCTTTACCTACAAGGCCGCTATCCAGACTAGTTTTTCTGTGGATATGTCGACTGGTTAATCTTTGTCTTTATTGTTGTATACTCACTCTAAACGAGGTAATGACCGTTGAAGATCCTCACCACCGCGGTTTGTTCACTCTTTGTCAAATGGTGACACAGTTGGAAATGCCTTTTTGCGATTCCATCATGGCCAAGTATGCCCAGGCTTATGCCATCTATGCTCGATTACAGGGGGTTAGTGCATCTTTATTCTTTCATATTCAATTTATCTGTACGTCGCTTTCCGTGATCGGCAATTTTACACTTCAATTAGAATACGTAAAATCGAACTTTAAATGACTAAGGGGTGACGAAGCTCGCATCTTTAAGCTCGGTAGTCTTTGCGGTTTTTAGTTTGTAGTTGGGAAATTGCTGTGTGCTGAATATCTGCAAAAGTGACGACAAATAACTTCCTTTTAATGAAGCTTATTAGTTAAACTGTGAGCCTTTCCTTATAGATTTTCACGCAATGGGATTCACTGACAAGGGGTCTCTGATGTTTCCTTTATTTTTATTACTGTATTGGAAGCATATGCTTCTCCAACAAATCACACTTATCCTCCCTGTAGGTGAATTGTAATGAAATTCGTGCGAATTGGCTGGCAGTGCCTCCACAGTCATGTAGAAGACTGCGAGATTTCATTTGGATGATCAGTTCTGTTCATTCGGCCTCCCGCATTGGTTCCCCTGTCCTTTCTGAATCCGACATTTCTGCATCATTGAAAGCTAATCTCACTCCTTCACAGGATAGTGGATGCATCTCCCCAAGGGGTAAGTCGGTTGAAAGAGTTTTCTAGAAACCCAGGTTCGTTCTAAGAAATGGCCAAATAATTAATTTAAAAAGCGTTCAGTTCAGAATTGTGTTTGAAATTGAACTAGCTTCAAATGCCTAACTCTCTGTAATGTTCACTAAAGTAGAAAGTTGTTTCTTCAATCATTCTTCTCAGTTTTTCTCTCCCACCCTAGAAGCTATTGGTTGGTATAAACTGTGCTCAGCAACCGATACTAAATTTGATCTATTAATATCTAGGAGACAAGTTGGATTCATTTTATAGCAAAAGGGAACCCACGTTTCACTTGGTAAAATTCAAAATTGAGCTATGGAACCCCACTATAGATGGCACTTTTAGAGTTTGCAGATTTGATTTTCCAAGTTTGATAGTCATAAATGATCGAAATTGCAAAATTGATCAGTCACATTAATTTTACTCCTTATATATATATATATATATATATATATATATCAGTGAAAAGTATCGGGTGGTAGTTCGAACTAAGATTAACTGCGCATTTACCGTGCTTGAAGAGATCAAATAGGTTATGATAACACATTTAATTAGTATTTTTTGGTAAATTTGATTGCTGGGAAAAATTATTTCATGCACAATTAGTGCGACTAAATAAGATAATCAAAAGTAGGTAAATCCGAGATCTAATAATTTTACCACACCTCAATCATGTTTCGCCAATCTAATAAAAAGAGCGATCAAGTACAGAGAGCAATTACTCAAAATACAAAAATAAAGCCTGCAGGGTGAAATTATTCAATATCAGTCATTACATTTACTCGCAAAACTAGTAATTAGCTTTTCCAATTATATATATATATATATATATATATATATATATATATATATTTATAAAGTGTAGTTTTTGTTTCGTGTCTATCACTTTTGCTTTTTTGTGTTAGTCACCGCCTTCTCAAGCCAACCTGCAGATGTGTCTACTGCTACATGCACCTTTTCAACAACATGTGGTCTCAAACCCGCCGCTCTCCAGACCTTCTTTTATGTTGGCCAATGGGACACGAATCTCTTCTCTGCTGACTGTCTTCGTATGCTCACACCGATTAAAGGCAAGATTGAACCGAATAATGCCCTGATCCCTCATCTTCTTAATCTTCAATCTGGTCGAACCCCCGGATGTCTTTCCACCTCCGCAATATCGTCACTTACCTACTTACTCTCTCTATCCCCCGACACTGACTTGATTGCTTGTCACAGTGACGATGAAGTCCTCAAAAGCTGGCTCGATTTCTTTCGATCTGTCCTTTTCCAATCTTCTTCTACTAATATTCGATGCCTATCAGCTATCTCTGCGCATGCTGTGATATCCTGCGGTCAGATGTCATTCACTTCCCATACTTCCGTGCTGGAAATATGCGAATTCATGCTTAAGTATCTTATCCAAATTATAAAGGTAATCTTTATCTATATATCATTTGCTGAAGGTATTGCAAAAGTAATTGATTACGTTTTTGCGATTTCAGGAGGCTGATTATGACAATACGCTTCATTGTTCAGAAGGCGTCAAGTTATTCCTGTGGATAATTGGACATTTGGTCGCGTTTAACCACATTCCATCATTCATTCCCCAGATATTTGTTGATGAGTGGAATTGGCTACTTAATTCGGTATATCCTTGCTTTCACTTAATTCTCAATATGTGTGTAGATCAAAACAAATTCAGTTGCCGAAGACGAAAATTTCCCTACGCCAGTTCACTTTACGATCCCCGACTTGGTTACCTCACACCTCCGTCTGTGCACTTGCCTGATTAAGTTCCAGGATGATAATATCTTCAACCAAAGCGTCGCGGGTCACATTGACCTAAATCTATTAGATGTAGGCTATTCGCTTTGCATCTGAGAGTGCATACTGACTTTCCACTAATGCAGCATTGAAAATTCTTTCCTTTTAGGTAATATTAAAGTTAATACTCTTTCCAGCATCAGTGCGTCGAAATGAATTACTGCAATGTAAATCGGAACCTTCAGCAACATCTGAAACTCTAACATCAGGTAACACTCTAGTTTCAATTTGCAAGGCCTTGGCCCCACCACCTCCGTCTGTGGCTAGCTGTGCTTTCAGTCTGTTGGGCCACCTGATGCTTCACTCGCCTGCTTTATTTGTGCCTCTCATTGCCGATCGGTTGACCAACCTCCTCTTCAAGCGTATGTTGCATTACCAATCAACTACTTATTCAATTAAAGTAGTAAGTAACAAAATTTCCTCATTGTTACAGCAACACCGATGTGGCTTTCGTGGGAGACCATAGAAGAGAAGAACTCTAATGATAATTGCGAATCTGAATCAACATTAGAATGCTTTGATGTTGGGCCATCTTATGTTGGTCTTAGGAATCCTGGTTCCCTGTGCTATATGAACGCTGTCCTCCAGCAGGTGTTTGCCATCCTTCCAATTCGCAACGCTATCCTCTCTGCCCCTGTCCTGCAGATTCTCGAAGAAAGTGGCGTTAACACTTCCGATCTTTACTCGGGTTATGGTTCTATTGTACGTATTGACTTTATATTCTCGCTTTAGGAATTGAACGTTTTTATGCCATAAAATGGCAATTGTTGTTGAGATATTTGCACAAATTATTGGGGTTCATTGACTCTTTTTAATTTTTTGGACAAAATTTGTAAGGCTAATAGTGTGCATGAAGGTATAAGCCTACTAATAAAGTGTTTGTAGTAGCAGCAGCATGTGGTATCTGAGTAGGGGTGTCTAATGAAACGTATAATGAGACTATCCATCAGTGTTATTATCTTGACCGACCTGTACTTTCGCCTCGAAATTGCCTATTTCATCGATTTCATATAATTTATTGTAAGGGGTACCGATTACACACCTCTATCGAATGGTTGATCGCAGCTCATCTGAATGTCCATTTTTAGTGGCATAAATTTCACTTTTCCTTCATTTCAGCGAACTGCAATGAATGAGACTAGGCTAACACAGCTATGCTCGCTTTTCGGATTGCAGGATATGTTTGCCTTTCTTGCCTACACTCGGCAAGCTTTTTACGAACCTGTTCATTTCTGGAAACATTTCAAGTCAGCTCTCTATGTTACTTCAGCTCCCTCTTCTTTCCCCTTCTTAAAAATACTAAATGACTTTTTTGTTTCTCTAGACTTTGGGGAGCCCCAACAACCTATAACGAGCAACACGACGCACAGGAGTTTTTTAGCTGTTTCGTTGACACGATTGATGAAGCATTGAAGCTCTGTGGCAAACCTAAAATCATTGAGCATTACCTGGGAGGGATATTTGCGGACCAGAAGGAATGCTTCCGCTGCCACCAAGTGTATGCTCTTTTGACGTTGCTTTCCTAAATTTATCCTACACATAGGGTTCTTATTAATCCTCTTATTTAGCCCTATCAATTTTGCGTTTTTTACAAGGGCATGGTGGTATTGATGAAGCTTGAGCCTAGCTTGATCAATAACGACAGCAGAAAATATTTGCTTTAATTCGTTTTTTGTAATCGCACAGTTTGTTTGGTTCAAGCTAATGTTTAAGTTACTTTCTGTGTTTAATTGAAGAAACCCCTTCTCGTCTCAAATATTTGCCTAATTGCTTTAATGGTAAGCTGATATCAACTTCACGTCTGATAAATTGCCTGGCTAACTCTATTTGTGAAGATGAACTAATTGTCATTATTCCAAGTGGATACATTAGGGTTCGAATTCAATTCAGATTTACGATTCATTGTCAACTTTGTTAGGCGAAAGCTGGTAGGCATGTGGCTGAATCTCTGCAACTTGCTTAGATTCAACTACCAATTGTTAGTTGAAAAGACGGTGTCTTCGGTACATTTTATTCAAACTACTTTCATTATGTTAATTAGCTTTGCTATTCTATCCTTCGGTGACTTAACTTACATTAACCTGCAGAATTATTAGTTACTGCTATTGTCTTCCAGCTATTCCCGCGAAGAATCGTTCCTAGCAATCAGCGTGGATGTTCAAAATAGAATCACCTTATCGGAATCTTTGGAAGACTACGTAAAGAGCGACTTGCTTGAGGGAAATAATGCCTATTTCTGTGAGAAGTGTAACATGAAGGGGGCTGCTCGCAAGCGCACATGCATCAAAAGCCTGCCTCAAATTCTAACTATTCACCTGAAGCGCTTCATCTATGATTACGAACAGTGGGTCTGCGTTGATATATCAACTTTTGATGAATCATGCCTATAGGGACTATTTTTAAAAACATTTTCAGAGATGTCTCTCAGAAATCGGATGATTTCTTTTCCTTCCCAATGAGTTTGGATATGTCACCATACACAGTGGAAGGTTTGGCATCTCGTGATGAACCTTCAGAGGGAAATACAAACGCTTCCGACAGTCGACCGATTTCCCCAGCTCCTGAATCGAACTCAGTCCGACAAGTTACCCGATACGTACTTCGTGGAGTCGTTGTTCACTCGGGCAAGGCCACTGGTGGTCATTACTTCTCTTATATTCGAAGTCGGGATCAGAAAACAGGCAAATACCTTTGGCATCTGTTTAACGATTCAAAGGTAAGTAATTTTGTATTTATCACTTCACTTAAAATGCGGCTTACTGAGTTGGTTTTAACTCTCCTAAGGTTTCAGAAGTGGATTTAAGTTCTGCTGAAATAATACACGATAAATGGTTCGGTGGTGTTAATCCGTCTGCTCGTTCCTTTATCCTTGGGCCCCATAAGCGCTATTGGAGTGCATATATGCTCTTTTATGAGCGAGAGGACTTTAAAGACACATTTGACTTGCCACAAATTTCACACTCTTTCCAATCTCTTTCCATCTGTGAGTCCCTCTTTCTGCATTATTTCTTTCCCTCTTCACATTTGTTTCTACTTGTGCGTTATTTTCAGTGGAGAGCAACCAGACTGTTTGGCCTTGTCCGGCGCATATTGCAAGAAAAATTTACGCGCAAGATGTCGAGTATTTCAATAAGAAAGCTCTTACCAGTCACTCCTTCAAAACCTTTATGTACGGAGTTGTTGATAGGGTAAGTATATTCTCCTATAAACCTAATCTCTCTTATCTGTAATGATCCTTCTATTGTCTACCTTTCTACAGTTTCAACTTTGTGCTGAATCGCCAGAGGTATTATATTCTCTAGCCAATCTCGTCTTTCACTACTGCTTTGAACTACACTTCAAAGAGCCCGGCTTTGAACCGTAAGATCTACCTCATTTAACACTATCTAGTTTCTCTTTCAATTTCTAAAGATGTCCATGTGCCTTTTTGCAGCTTTAAATGGATCAACCTCCTCTTGAATTTACTTGAAAAGGACTTTGCCATTCAAAAGCTTTTTACAGATATCGCTGTATTTTCACCTTTCACCAGTCCTCATGATATTTTTTTCAAGTGTTCTTTTCCGCAGGTATTTCTATCGAACTCGACATATTTTCTCTTTTCTCGTGTTTAGCTTGTTTTATATCCAATAATTCCTTTCCTCCTGTAGCTTCGCTTCTTATACACTACTCTCCTCTTTCAATTGATGTGTCCAAACAAAGATGACGAAGGCGCCAATGAGTTGGCCGAGAGGATTTTGAAGAAGATTCTGGATGAACTGCCGAATTGCTTTAAAAGTCGGAGTGATGGACTAGAAGATTCTTTTATCGGTCCTTTTACCTTCTGCGATTCCTATGGCTTTACTCTTATGGATAACGTCAAAAGTTTAATTAAAAATTCTTCCGGTGGCCAATTGTTCTCCTTACTCTTGGATTACATGCAAATGTCGGATAAAAATGTTGAACGATTGGAAAGCCGAGGAGTCCACACTAATTTGATTAAAATTATAATGGAAGGTGTTCCGAAATCAGGTCTTCGAAAATTATCCGAAACCACAGTTTCCCTTGCCAACTGTGATCCACTTAAATCACAGTTGGAGAAACTGGAATCAGTCATGGGCTCTAGGGTAGTTCCATTTATTCAAGAGAGCGCACGCATGTTCATAATTTCAGAAGCGGCGCGAGGTCACATATCGACTGAAACCAATCCAGCCCTCTCTTTTGCTCCCTCACATACCTCAGCCGCTTTCATCTCAATCGATCGAAATAGGTCCCATCTCTTCTTCCTTTCCTTTGTCTTAGCTGTGCATTACTCTCCCATAAATCAACTCCTCAAGTGTCTCCAGGTATTTTTCTGGCGAGCCAGCAAAAAGGAGTCTGCACTGAGTATCGACTCGATCCTGGCAGACGTCGATCTCCCTTCCTTCACAAGGGTCTTAATCAACAATTGTGTGAATCAGGGCTCCGTTATGACCGTTATTGCATTGCTTTTTGTATGTTGTCCTTGCACTTCCTCGATGTTTTTGTCTCCTTATCAAATTGGCTCTTCATTTTGTTAAATTTTTAATAGACACTCATTCGGAATTCCCAACCCCGATCTGAAGTAGTACTAAAAGAGCTGGTTCGCATAATTTTCCAACAGAACGATTTTGGGCCCCAACCGACCGTTTTAGCTGATTTATCCATCATCATCCTTATGGAACTCCTTAACTGCTACGATGAACCTTGGGAATATCGAATGCTGCTCATCTTTGATCGTATGTATTTTTTTCACAAAGTCTGACTTATATGATGCTAGAACTAATTTGGAGTGAGAAGCCAATATTTAAATAATGTCTGACTGAAAACGAGCTTCGATTGTTCACTTCAACTACTTTCCCCTTCTTGTTAATTAGTTATATATATGATATTATTTGTGTAGAATTTCGGTTTTTTTAAATAATTTGTTTAGTTCATTGATCTACAACAGACCTTTTAGTATTCTAGTAAAAATGTCAATGCTTTCATCTCAAATCGATCAAGTCTGTTGCTCTATCATTGCCACTTTAACGAATGTCGAGGGTGTGGTACCAGCAAAAGTTTTTTTTGCATCTTGATCATTACTTGGTGGTTAGAGACTAGTAAGCATGAGCACATAACGGAACAGGGAATATGGAAGCGAAAAAAAGATCGAGTAAAAACAGCACAGTCAGACCACTAAGCAGGCTCTGCATTATTGGGATTCCGCATTTATCTGACTTTTCTTAGTTTATTGGATCATTTTCTAAATTCTAGAATTTGATCTTGAAGTTCTCCTTGGTGGGCTACTGGTTGCGGTGTTCAGAACTATTTGAGTGGTGCAATACACGAAGAAGGCTAATCATTCTATCGTTTTGCATGTCAGAGGCCGAAGCAGCCATTTGAAATTTGGTCATGCCTTATATGATGATGATTTTAATAAAATATTTAATTTTGGTTTTTTTTTTCAGAACACCAAGAGATAGATATCTTAAGTTGGATTTCACTCAATAATCCAACTCTTCCAAGGTCTGTTGGACTGAAGCTGTTGAGATCCATTGCTGCAATTACCACCCAGTTCGCAGCATTTAAGGAATTCTTTTACATACACAGTGAAATCGGCTTACGACTTTATGAGGTACTCCCGTTTTCTCTTACCACAATATAATCAGAAAAGGAAGATATTGGATCACCTCTCTCTCTAACGGTTTTACTTATAGATTATGGAGTCCACTGCGGAGAATATAGGCATTCCCAATTCGATCGCATTCAAGAAATATGAAGAAACTCTCTGCCAAGCCCTAGATGCTCTTCGTGATTTAGTAAGACTCAACTTCTTTTTAAGTTTCCAGTTTGGCGCACAACAAGGAGAAGGTTTATTTTACACGTTGCCCTGCTCTTTCTAATTGATCAACTTTGCCATTGTTGATGGAGTTTATTTAAATTTTAATTCTTGCTTGGAATTATCGTTAATTAAAGGTTGACAGTCACAAATTTGTTTAATTGGCTATTCTGATTAATATTTTGTATAATTTCTTGATGTACAAATTTAAACACGGCTTGACGATTTGATAAAGATACAAACTCGCATAACTAAATGCACACCAAGTCACTATACATGACTAAAGAGATGCCAAATTTCGAGGCAGTCATAAAAATGTGCGAGGATAACCTCGAGAATTATGCCATAAGTCTACTACAGCAACTTTTTCTTTTCTAGCATAAAAGTTCCACTGGAATTGTTGATCCTGATCCTCAGACTTCACTGTCACCAGGAAGTTACATGGCCAATGTTTCCAGTCAATCGCCGCGTAGTTCCACTTCAGAAGATTAACCTCTCTTCAGGTGTTGATATGTTGAGGTTCGACATTCCACCTTGATGCTTTCGTCACGCCTTCCGCCGAATCATTAGTTTTTCCCTAATATTCTCTCTGTATTTTTCTACTTTTGACGCAGTCTTTCCTCTTCTATTTTTAAGCGCTCTCTTTCCGCTATTAATTTGTGGTGCTGGTTTTTGCCAGACCTTACCACCTTGGCGGGGGGGATATATTCTCCTCCTCGCTTTTTCGTTGCTTCACTTGTTGATCCCCCTTGTTTCGCCCAAACTGGCATATTTTGACCTTTTTCCATTCTCCAATTTCATGCTTTTGTTTTATTAAAAATTGACTTCTGAATACAGATATTGATAACATTTCCAATTTAATTTGTCTCACACTCAGTGGCGTGATCTTTCAACACTTGGGGCTTATGGCTTCATTGCAACAAATACAAGTTCGTGAATTACTGTCGATCGACGCAATATATCATATGAAGATGGGGTAATTAGAATAACTGATAATTGATATGGTCACTAACTTACTGCGTGAAAGTTGGGTCATGCATAAAGTTGTCATATATTGTCGGTACGAGAAGAAAGGAAGGTAGGTGGCATTCAATTTCACAATTTCATTTTCCATAAGAATGAGGACTTTCGATTCCTTCGGTGTCTAAAAAATTGAACAGGTACATTGGAACGGAAGCTGTCAGACTAAACAGACCACTCCAGGACCACCGATTGTGTAGCAGACACTAGACGAAATGTTATCTTTGCTATAGATAAGTGCAGTCAGTCTCTATCAGAGCCCAAAATCAGGGAAGTGTAAACACAAGGCGTGTAAGGTGCCAAGTTTTTCTTTATATGTGTGGGAGGCAGCTGCCAACATGGTAGGTCTTTCAATACAATCAATGCTTCTTGAGTGCACGGGATTTCTTTGTGTTCAGACTTGTTAGCATTGTGCATTTCCTGACACTGAGGAAAACATTCTAAAGCATGGTGTCTTTTATGGGACTTGAAAAATCCGGGAAGTGAATGATGAAGTGTCCCTCTAACCATTATGCCAAAAAGGATATTTGTTAATTATTTACAACATCTGTTCTTAGGTTCCATTGGACCGATTAAAATATAATTTGCTTCTTAAATCTGCACAGTGTATTCAAAATTTATTCTCAATCTAAGAAACGAAATGGCATTCTTTTTCATAATCTATTATTTACTGAATTTAGACGAAGCTAGGATGTTTCACCAGGTAGCCTGAAAAGGACAATGCTGTAGATATTGATCAGTTTGTGGGAAATAGCAAACCCTCGTTATTTATAGTAGATTTATTTATGCCAGATGGCAGGCACTTTAGTTGAGTTCGGGTTTTACAGAGGGGAGGGAGCAGAAGAATGTTTCACAGATACTAAGGAGATAGGCACATAGGTAGTGAAAAAGATAAGGGAAGTACTGTGGTGATTTGAAGTCAACTGTTTGTTTAAGCGTGTTTTGGCAATATGAGTGTACTTTGCCCAAGGTGCCCCACGTGGAGGTAAGTCTAGCACACACCCCATTTTACATATTATAAAATCCTGAAAATACTTCCTCAAACAAAACATCAACTGTTATTGAGCTAAGACCTCGAAGAAGCTTTAAGCATATGGCAATTGACAGACGTATGACGTGAACACGTTTATTGGCAGACTGTCTCTGCCACAGAGCTTAGTCACTAAAGTGCAATTAAGACTCTGTTAAACGCTGCAGCGAGTGAGAGGTCTCTGGACTCATGACTACACCTGCACGGCCCCTACTTCGAGCCTTCTTCTTACTTAGAAGTTACCGGGTTTTATTAATAAAGGGGTATTTTTAGTGTCTCCAAACAACCTCAAATTAGCCATACTTAAATGACTTCAACAATACAAAATTGCACAGCAACGATTCCCGCTTATCAACATTTTTAAATGAAACTTTATAGTAAGGCCATTTTTGCCATCTTTTGGTGCTAAGTGATGCATACCCCAGCCTGGATCATTTACATGGAGACGTAATGTTAAGCAAGCTGGTAGGGTTTTTATGATTATTATTTATTTCATCTTGATGTAGATCAATCGTACCGTATAGGAATAACGAGTAAAAAGGACAGAATTAGCACCCAAAAACTAGGCAATTAAATTGAGTAAAAATTGTACATGACAGAGTCCTCTTCAAGGCTCAATATAGATAGACCATTTTGCGTCGATCTGAATATATTTTTTATTCAGCAATCCCGAGCTATTCAATACATATTTGATAATTCATGTGATAATAGCTTTTTATCATTTCGGTTGCATTTAATTAGGCGAATCCTATCAATCATTTGATACCCCCCATCAAAGTTAATTCCAAATAACTGGGAAAATCTCCATTGTGGGTTTTTATATTATTGTTTTCAGTACTCCTGATGGTGCCTCAGTGTCAGCTATATCATGAAATTTATTCATTTATATCAAATGGCAGGCGTTTTGATTGTTAGCATTAGCCATGGAGCTGACTTCGGTGCTTCACAGAGAGGAGAAGGGACATCAAAGTGACAAAAAGTCGAGATGGGAGACAGAATAATGATTCACAGAGGTAAAAGAGATAGACAGGCATAAAGGCATAAAACAGGTAAGATGAGTACTGTGAAAGGGGTCGAATATGGCAAAAAGTCGGGCCATAGTAGTTTGAAGTCAGAAGTCAACTGCCGATCAATAGACTTTTTTGCCGTATGAGTATACGTTGCCCAGGGTGCACCACGTGGAGGTAAGTCTATTGCGCACCCCATATGAAATAGTTCTATTTAAAATGAATAGGCTGTTACGCGAGTATACCTATTAAAGCTCTAATTCTCATCTATTTTACTTCCAAAAAAGCTGAAGTCTTTCTACTATCATGATATTTTTTGTCGTTAAACCTCGAAAAACACCACAAATTCCCGTTTAGTACTTAGTTCGAAGTAGATACTTGAATGATAATTTATTTTATTTCAGACCGCTACTTGACAAAGTTTTAATTACGAAGTTATTAGTGAGGACGAAAAGTTTTTTAAAAGAAGAAATTTAAAGGAAAGGATGAACACAAATCTTTATCACATCAGTCATGTTTGCGATTTCAAGACATTTGGATGAAAGCCCCTCGCGAATGGTATGAAGAGCAAGAGGTTATTCTCTTCAATCCTCTTGGAGATGCCGCGAATATCAAACTTCCTGGAAGAGAGTTCGAACGTTTGTGACACCTCCATGTCGTAATTTGTAGTTGTGGTTGGTACTTCATTCTCAGACAAAACACCGTTTGTATTCTCTTCTGAATGACGGGCGAAAACTACCTTAACGGTTTCCTCCATTGGATCGACTTGAAGTTGAACACTATCACGGTCGACATTCTTATCCAATCGAATTCTTATCTGGCACCCATCGTTCAGCACTTCATAAGATGTATCCTAAAAAGTACTTTTAAAGTTATTAAAATGAATCGAATAAGTCAACTATTCAATATGTGCTTTGTACCTTCCTTGTTTCCAGTAGACTTATGTCAAACTTTCAAGTAATTACATTAATCCACTTGAATGGAGGGATTAAAGAGACTCATGGCCTATTTATCCTTAAAATTTATGGGAATCTTTAGTTCAAATGAAATCGAATAATATTCAATAAATTTGAGGTCAAGTTTACGAACGCATTTACAATTGGTATGGAAGTTTCAAGTTGTGATTGGGATGAGCACTGAAATAAGAACTGTGGGGCACGTTATCGCTGTGTGCGTCATCGTATGCCTGTATGTCTGCATGTGGGACACGTTATCGCTGTGTGCACCATCGTATGTCTGCATGTCTGCTCGCCAGGATTGGGAGGTCTTATGCCTGTATGTCTGCTCGCCAGGATTGGGAGGTGCGGCTGTGCAACTCTGTGTGCAGCGACCTTACAAACAGTGACCAATCATTAACCTCTGTTTAACCTAATCCCCCATCCTGATCAATCATCAACCTCTGTTTAACCTAATCCCCCATCCTGATCTGAGGTGAATAGCTAGTGTTCACTTTTATCCACAACATTCGTACTGAATAAACGTGCTCCGTGCTACACGTCTGTTTCTTTTATGGCTGGGCTGTAGCTTAGCTGGTTCTGGGAGTCTAGCTAGATGTTTGAGAATCTGCCATAGAGATTTCTGAGTCAGTCAAACTTTAATAAAGTAGCGATCCGCTATAGAACCTCGGTTCACCTTTAGTGTGTATTCTAGTAAGTTATGCTTTTATACTAGAACAGCTTAGCTAACTGGTACCAATCAGAAGAACAAATTTAAACACTGGAAGTTTGCTATTGCTATCTCTGATATATTGACAAACCAGATATTGTCTTTGGAAGTCACAAACTGAACTTGAACTCGCCTGATCAGGAGTTGGGGCAAGTTTGACTAGAGATTCTGGTAGTTCGGAAAAGGATGTGATGGTAGGGTTGATAACCCTACCCTCGGGCGAAAGATCAACGGTTCCTTTGATGAATTGTTTATATTCCTTCGACCACACACGTGTTGGAGAGATGGCTTCTGTTTGTGGAAGTTTCTCCACGCGACCAGTGATCACGACTGTATTCTCCGTGACAGTTTGGTCATCCAACTCATCGTACGACGTTTGTTGATGTCGTAATGTACTGTTAAAATTTTCTTCATTATAACGCTGGATATTCTTTGTCTGTAGCTTGTATTCAATCGTACTCAAATCCGTGCCTTGTGGCAAAATTACTATCTAAAACGTTTAATATTTTTTGTATTTATAACCCTGTTATTTCAGGTGGATTTAGATGTAAATAGTAATTTATGTAAAAGGCGAAATTATCATTCAAGCGAAATTAAAATTGTGGATGCTACATTTGGTCGTTCACACGATGAGGAAAAATGATAAAAATGAATTTCAATGTTGTTTTAACTTACAAAATTCATTTTATTTTATTGTTAATTTTGCATGATGTTGGGATACAGCCTACCCAAATGCATATGCTTTATAATGTCATTATGAATTTATCGTCGTAAATGTTCTTAATAATTTAGAAATTATCGATTTATGCTGAAGTTGATTGAATATAGTAAAAGGGAGGAAGTTCGGCTCACTCATCTCAAAGTGGCATTCACATTACTCTTTACAATAAAGCAGTAATTTTAATAATACACCAGAAAATTCATATTCAGTCAACTCTGCAATAGTTGCAGGCAATTGTTATTCACTTCTGCCTTGTAGTACTTCTTTTCAAACCTTAATTTAATTAATTTGTCTTTTTCTACAGCAGGTTTATAGGCTGCGAATGTATTTTCCTACAGATCAGTCTTAGGTAGGTGGTGTGGAAAACAAATAGTCGGTAGAACTGAAAATACAGTTTTTTTCCGATTCCACATCTTTTGTAACTTGCGGGGTTACATGGACACAATAAAATAAAGAGTTTTGATAAATAACAGCAAAAGTAGGTCGATTATATCTTCTTTTATCAGAAATTTGGACTCAAGAAATAACAACATTTATACTGGTAGATGATCACTATTTCATGAATCTGAAATTAATATAATAGCACTTAAGTTAGAGAGCTCTCGAGTGATTTTGTTGAAACCGTTTTACAAAATAACAGCGCTCACCCAATTAGAAGAGAAAACGCTAATCGTACTGTTACCTCGTCAAAGCCATTTTCATCTTATATAGTAGCACACCATTGACTATGTAAGTTCAGGATTCATTTATGGCATTTATTTGATTAATGAAATGTTATAAATATTGGACCATATACGGTTGAGTGACATTCAATAACTACGCAGAATATTTAACCCTATTATAGTTAAAATACTTTCCATAGGCTCCACAAACATTTGCGCTGATGCCTTATCAGTATTCTTTAAAAAAGCATTTAGAGTTTATAATGAATGTAAGTAATGTCTGTTGCGATGACGATTCTTCACAAGGATAGTGAATTTTATACAATTGGACTGCATATGGTGAACAAATAATGTACTAGGTAGACAACAAATTGATGGAACTTTGCTAAAACTGCATCGGGTTTATGCAGTAATGCCTAATAAGATTATCGAAAAAGGGCAATTTCTAAATTTAATTATAATGTTAAGTGCTCTAATAATTTGTTGAAAATTAAAAATATAAACACCATATGGAAGGGATTTTTCAGAATATTTTGGGATTATCCGAAAAACGGAGAAATCTTGATCAATTGGTAATACTCACTTCTGAAAATTCCTCTTCAGTGATAGCTTTTTGAGTCGGTGACCACTGTCTTACTCGACCAATTATCCTCAACCTCAGTAAATTATATCTCCGCAAAGTTGAACTACCCTCCATAGGCAGTTGCTCACATTTAAGTCGTGTAATGACTCCAGCTGGTAACTCCACGCTCCTCTGGAACCAGTGATTTCGTTTGAGTGTCCATTCTTGTACATCCTTCATTTTGTCATTTATTGACAACCACTTTGTTTCTTCAAAATCGCGAACGAGGTTATATTCACTCCTTCGAAGATAATTCCTCTGCATGGTCGAAAGAGTCTCCTCCGTATTTGTTCGCAACTCATCCAATTCTCCACTGTCTGTCGTATCTGTCTCATAGTTGGGATAGGGGATTTCTGGTAACGGAAGTGATTCATCATATATAAATCGTGTAGGTGGCAATGGAGCAGAGAGTGGAGTGGGTGTCGGGGCATACATCATTGGGATCATGTAGGGAAGAGGATAGAATGCTGCGTTATTTATGCAGGGTCCCGGTGCAATTGGATTGGAAACGACTGGATAATAATTGCATTGTCGGTAGTGCCTCGTTCGAGAGGGCGATCGCCTACGTTTGGAGTGATGGGGGATATTACCGTAGATGCCCTCTGCTGGTGTGCGAGGATTTAAGCTACGAGGCCGGGAACGCAACATTCTCGAAAACAAATCTGTGAGAAAGAAGAATATACTTTTGCGCAGTTACACGTATTATTTTATATGCTATCTTTGAATTCGGCGAGTGACATTTTAGTAAAGAGCCTGCGTGCGATTTAGTAGCCTCCATGTGATGCTTGATGGACCAATGAGCGATGGCTTACTTGGACCTTGAGCCTTAAACTAATAATACTCGCTACTGTTTTGCATTGGATTACCAACTGAATTTCTCAATCTCTATCAACTAAAATACTCTAACCTCCCTCCAAAAATACTGTATATTCAAAGATTCGCACAACTATCCACTGGATGAAATAAGATATCTCTACCTTCATGGTTGATTCCGGCTCTGTGTTTCTTTTCAATTCATTTGGGAATGCTTAACGGTGCAAAGCACGTTTCAAAGGAAAACATGGGGCCAATGGTCGGTAGCTAGTATATGACAAACGAAATTGTATGATGATATAGAGCATAGCATTCGGAAAGGTGAGTAAGTGGCCGTCGAATAATTTGAGAACTCATTTTCTATTGCTATTTTAGGCGATTTGAATCTAAATAAATTTGTTGTTCTTACATTTTTAATAGTAAATTTGGCTGTTGAGGTTCTTGAAAATTGTTGAATACACGCACACTGTGCAATTATTCTCCAGACTTTTGTTGGTGTGGTTAAAGTAAATTTTATAATTTCAATTTGGAACGTTATAAGGTCTTTGAAGTAATGTGAAAACATGTAAAGCGGGGTGCACTCTTGAAATTCTGGCACACACCTCTCTTATTTTTAAGAATTATTTTTCTCCCACTATATTTTGATGATTAGAAGAAAAGATCAAAGCGTTTTTATGGTATTTTTCGAATAGTGAAAAATATCATTGCACTAAGATGTGACTTTCTATTAGGGGTTATTTCGAATAGAAATTAAGTAGATTTTAATTCAATATTACATCTTTAGCTCATAGTTCGTGGGAATTTTTCTAAACGCAATTATTGTAAATTTTTATTGTTCCCCGTGAATAATTCTAATGTGATTTGACCTAGAATACAGAGAAGCGGGAGAGAGAGAAATTCATAACCTGAATAGGAAAATTAACCGGAATCGCCAGACGTAATGGATATCAAGGTCATAGAGAAAAAAGGAAGGCAAAAGACATAGAATGATAAAGAAATTAGTGGAGAGGAATGCAGATATTGCACAGGACCCCTAGGCTGGTCTTGTTAGTGGATACCAGTAAAAAGGTTTTATGGTGATCGTTTTGGGGCTGATATGGATGGAGAACTCGACCGCTGCTAGGAAATGGGACTACGGAAGGCCGCTGCTCGTCAATTATTGGGCAAAATCAAGAAAAATTTATTCAGGGATGTAATGATTTGTTAATGAATTTTACTCAATACCGGTTTTGTTCAAAAAGTAGGCAAACTCAAGGCATTTAAATAGAGTCGAAATCCCTCAGTTTTGAATGGCTTGGTGTACACAAATGAAATGAATGCTTCAGAAAGAGTTTCATTAAATATGTGCAATTTTTCAACTCCTCGCCTTAACTATGCCTTAAATGCTACGGCTTCCTTTCCACATGCAGACATGAGCATAAAGTTGTAACTCAAAGACAAGTGAAGTGGAATAAGAAAAGTTCCGTTTATGGTGATTCTAGCTCAGAAATAAAGATCAGAGCTTTAAGGGTAACAAAGTCGAGTTCGTAAGATATACCATAATAGATTACAGAAAGGAGCCAACTGGAATCCTTTAAGGACACATAATCAATTTCCTAACACGAGATTTGGGTTTTTTACCTCTCAGCAATGGCCTAAATAGGCTTATTTGTGGACATTAATGAATACTGATCTTCTAGGTAAATACAATGATACACAATATTATTATTTCAAATGGCAGGCTTTATTATATTTATCATTAGCC